AGATTGTAAGAGATTGATGATGGAAGATGATTGTGGAGAAGATGTTTGAAGTAGCAGATCTTGAGGAGATGGAAGGTAAAAAATATTTCTTACAAGATCTTATCTTATCTATTTTAATTTTGTGAAAGTTCTTCATTTTAATTCAAAATCAGTTCTGATTATTTTCAGATTTGAATTTTGAAATCAGGTTAACATGCCAAAATCTGAAGGGAATAACATCAATTGGACCAACCCAAGATGATTCCAATCAATTCAAGACGATTCAGTTCAAGAAGCGGAGGAAGAGATCTAGCCCAGAAACAACTATTCCAAAGTTTAGATTATGATTTATTTCTTGTTTATGATTTTTTTTTTTGATCAACGGTTTCTTGTTTATGATTTATTTTAGATTTTTTGGCTTTGTTTTCTGTATTGTTAAAATATTTTGATGTAAATATATTTATTTGAAATTTGAATTGTTATTAAGCTTTTAATTATACATTTAAATTTCGTAATAACTTTTATTTATAAAAAAAAACATTTGGAAAAAAAAAATCATTATTATTTTAATTATTTGTAAAATGTAGAATCGTAGGAATATGGTAAGAAAACTTTTTTCTACGGACAGATTTGGTCAAATATCGGTAAAAAATTTCCTTTAAATTACTTACCAAATTCCTACCAAAAGTTTTAACGAAATTTTCTACCAACTATTTCGTAGGAATTATGCCTAATATGTTACGATATTCCTACCATTTTGGTTTTTCTACGGAAGAAATCCTACGGTGTATTTTCGTAAGAAAATGGTAAAAACTAGCCTATTTCTACCAATTTATTACCATATGTTCCGTAGGAAAACATCATGTTTTCTTGTAGTGATCACGCTGCATTACGAAACAATGTTTCTACTTTCTAACAGTGAACTTTGGTTTTTTCTTGTCTTTTTTTTAACAAAGTTGGGTAACCAAGTGCAGTGCAGATAAGCTTATCTTCAGTGGATGTACCACCTAAAGTTTTAGGTTATTAAAATTCAGTATTGTTGTAATTAAACTAAGATGAAACAAAGTCGAAGGGATTTGTGTAGCATACATAACGGGTGATACACATAGATGCATGAATATAAACATATATGTGTGTGTATAAATACTAAATAGATATGATGATGTTGGGGTGTGTGTAAGAAGTAAAAATCCAAGAGTTAAAAAGGAGAGAGAGAGAGAGAAGGTTGATGTGGTTGTCGAGATGCTAACAGAGAGGCACATGCAAAGCTTAAATGATGGTATCGCTGGTGGCCAAAGCATCTCCTTAAAGCTGTCCTTTTTCATCTTAAGTCCTCTTTTTTTATTTCCCTTTTCTACCGCTTCTATCTTTCTCTCTCTATGCATACATGTATATGTACTTGTGTTTATAAACTTTTTAATGTATATCAGCTTAGTAATGTGCAGTTGTGCACGTATGCAAACCTAAAAGTGTATCATAAATTAATTAAATATTAAAATTAAATATCGAGTTACAGATACGTGTGACGATAATATTTCGAATGATATGAATCTTGATTTATACGGTCTAGATAAAATGTTTGTTGGTTGAAGATAGGTTCCTCGCTTTATTATCCCCCTCCAAAAAAGGATCATCACGAATATGTGCTCAATTTCTTTTCCCATAAAGTTGTGTATTACATAGTGAAAATTAATTAAAATTTTTAGAGGGGCTATGTTGTATACAATTTTCGTAACAAAAAAGTAAACAATGCATCCGAAAATTCAAAATGGATCATTAACACGTTTTGGTTTGTGCATCACAATTTGTCAAACTCATAATCAATTGCGTCAAACTATAAAATTTGATCTTATGTTTGCTAAAGTAAATTACATAGATGTCAGTGGGAATAAAGAGGAGACTATATTTTTCCCTCAAATATACTAAAGTGACAAACCTAAATTTCTACGGAAAGAATATCTTATTATAAAACCCCAAGCCGACAAAAACTAAGAAAAAAAAAAAAACCCAATTTACCGAAGAAAGAATATTATAAAAATACAGTAACAAGGAGAGAGAAAGGTGTTATGAAGGATAAAGCCCACCAGAAGCCATCACTCATCCACCTGTATAATATTATTTTTATAGAGGCAATATTTAATTTTCACTAAAGTTTAGTATAGATAAGGATTTTTTTATGTTAATCGTGGAAGTTAATTAGGCCTATATCCATAGTATTCGAAGTCAACTTTGTATATATTTTGAAAGCCTAGAATTTTCACGATTAGTATTAGTATACATTTCGATCTTTTGGGTTATACGTTCGTATTTTACGCAACTTAATGATACTCACTAGTTTATATATGTGCCAATACGTGCAAATGAAAGGAAAACAAAAAAGGCATGAGCTGTCTAGTAGTTAAATCCAAATCTAAATTTGTATTACGTAATTGTATTATACCGACGAAACTGATATACAAAATAGAGTCAACGACTCAGCATCCAATTAATTATTGAGATATATATATATATATATCTTTTTGAGTCGAATTTCTTTTTGTTTTTGTTAAACTTTGCTTACATCATAGGGTATCGTATTAGACTACTATTAGGTTGGTGTACCATGTGATGATTCTACCACCGAAAAAACAGAAACCAATATATTAGTACATACATAAACATATTACATAATATAAAATAATCATATCCTATAATATACAGACTTAAACCACATATTTCTTATATTTACGGTGGTAAATTTTCGGGTGGGGAAAAAAGAATGTTAGGGTTAATATATAGGATATGTCATTTATTGACGAAATGGGCTCATCTAGGGTAACATCACCTACCCATACAATATTATCATGCTTTTAGGGCTTTTATTTTCGGTCTGGTCCCACAATTTTCCCACTTTCACTCGTGCCGCGTGTACCACACGCTCCAATCTCTATCCGCTTCCGTGCCGACGCTCCCTTTTCGATCCGCGCCACGGACGAAACGTGCCCACACGCGAAAAAGAAATGCCGTGATTTTCACGCGCCTAGGGTTTTCTTTTTAAGGACAGAACAAACGGGTTGTGATAAGAAGCGCACATCACGGCCACGTGGACGTTTTTGATTCGTTCCTTCTGCCCCATCCTATCACACAGAAACGTCACTGTATTGTAAAAAAGGAAACGTAAATGAAAAATGGGTTTCCTTATTGGATTTACCAGAAAAAAATCTTTGAATCTATGAAAAATTGGTTTCCTTCTTGGATTTACCAGAAAGAAATCTTTGAATCTTTGAAAATTAAATTTATTTCTTTTGTTGTTTAATATTTGGATACTTGTTACCCTTTTTTTTCTTTGCCAGCAATTTGATACTTGTAATTACCCTAATTCCAGCTGTCTATATATAAATGCTATAAGATTTCTTTCCCTAAAAATAGTCAATATTGCAGAGAAATTTCTTCCTTTCTATCTATTGCAAGATGCAGATACCGATACGTGTACACAATACATTTAAAGATAGGTAATCTTGTTACATGGAAATGAAAATAGGCAGACCAGATGGTGACATGGCAGTGTCATGTTCCATAGATGAGTTGTTTTTTAATATTTTAAAATGAATTAACTTTTATGTCAATAAAATAACTTTATTATATATAAATAAAAGAAAACCCTCATTTCAACGCAAAAAAATAAACCCTCATTTCAAGAGATAAGAGAGCTCCACTTTCTCTCTCTTGGCTCTCAACAGTCTCTCTCTACAAGCCAAAGAAAAAAAAGCCCCCCTTTCTCTCTCTCCTTTCGGCTGGGAAAAGACTTAGGGTTTCACGAAAATTCGCAGTCAAATTCTACTCATCTCCCGACGAATCAGCCCTCGGAGATTCTCTCCTCTTCTTATCCGGAAGCTTCTCAATCTCCCGATTCAGATCTCTCCGCCTGCCGCTTCAGATCGAGCTCGAATCTCGCATCGCTTTCTCCGTATCTCTGGTCGGATTTATCCAGGTGCGTGTTTCCGACATGAATCTCCGATTCGTTCGATTTAAGGTTTCGCTTATGGCTCGATCTTGTCGGACGAGATCTAGCTTGACTCGTAGCTGACTTCGTGTTTTTTTTTTTGAGGGCTCTTCACTGTTCATATATACGTCTCTTCGAAACTCGCTGTTCTTACTTTTGTTTTTTTTTGTCTTTTTTTCTCGTCATTTGCGGACTATTCACGTGCGGATAGATCTGACCCGTATTAATTGGTTGGTCTTCGTTATCTTTGTTAATCCCATGCGATTAATTTTAAGTGTCTTATTATCTGTTAATTGGGTTCTAAATAATTTGATTTTAAACCCTAATTTACTCGGATTAATAATATTGATGTTTCTTGGAGTTTGTAATCTGGAGATTGTAATGAAACGTTCTTAAACTTTTGTGTTTTTGGTCATGTAGAAAAAGGTTACAGATTTTTTTCACACAATTAATTAAAAAAGAAAAAAAAAAAGTTACAGATTTGATTGTCTGAAAACCCTAATTTTTAGGTCGGTGTTTAAATACATGTTTATTTTTTTGTTAGATCGATGTCTGAAACTCACGTAAATTTTTTTTTTTTTTTTTTTTTTTATGAAATGATATGCTGGTGAAGGATTTCGTTCTTAATTTTATGTAGACACCTTTAGGGTTTTAAATTTTCAATTTCCATGAAGTTGTAGAGGTAGGTTATGAATGTTATTTTATGTGAAAATACATGGAATGTGCTTGAACATTATGGCGTATATCAAGTAGTATTTATTGCTTAATTAATTTAGCGTTATATTTGGTGTCGTGGATATGGAAAGTTAAGATTATGAAGCCTTACGTCTTTATTTGCAAAACCATTGTGATCATCAACAACAATCTAATCATCAAGCACGATTATACGGTGTGATATACGTAACTTAAAACGTTTCTCTTTTGTGATGCTTAAAGATATTTTATGTGTACTTTTTGTAGATCTAGCTAGCTGCGGAGAGAGTTTAATGGTGGAAGTTAATCATCACTAAGGCATAAAATCTCCTTCAAGCAAATCACAATGGGATCAATATCCATCGATCTCACAGACGCTGTCAACGAGAATGATATGGCCAAATGTAATCATTTCTCCATACGGTAAGCATAATTTCTTTCAACTTAAATCACCAACCTTCTTTGTTAGAGTTTGTTTATACTTTCCAATTTATTCGATTACTTTTTACGTGAGATATATGAAACGTTCACTTCCAAATATATACGTGATTTAATGACATGAATATTTATTTTATTCTTCTTAAACCATGCAGTGGATACGTAGCTGAGGCATTTGAGAATGATATGACACAATGCTGGCCGTTCTCGAAGAAGAGTTATAGGTTGATGGAGCAAGGAATCTATCCTCTTCCTCCTTTGTCTGTTCCAAATGATAGACGGCATGATTGCACGAGCTGCATCAGAGATATTCTTGCTGGTAGGCCAAAAGGTACGTATATTAATACTCGAGAAAAATATATTAATGTTCAATATATGTTTCTATATTAGCTAGAGATTAAGGCTGTTTGAGCTAATGCCTGTGTGTGTGGTTGCTTCTAGATCCTGAACTGCGTTCATACCCAAGAAATAGAAGCCGGAAAAGCGTCCCTAGAAGATCTTCCCCTGGTCCAAGCAATAGGAATGCTCTAGCTGTCGTTGCAGGTATACATGCATATGCTAGGTTTAATTAATTTGGTTTCATTATTCAAAAGCAACAATAATAATTTCGTATTATCATCTTTCTTTGCAGGTAACGCTGTTGAGCAGAATGAGAATCAAAACCCTGAAAGATCTCAACAAGCAACTGCTGAGGAGAATGAAATTGTAATCTGCGCTAGAAGGTCTTCCCCTAGTCCAAGCAAATTGAATGCTCTAGCTGTCGTTGCAGGTATATATGCATATGCTAGGTTTAATTAGTTTAGTTTAATCTTTCAAAAGCAACGATAATAATGTCGTATTATCATCTTTCTTTGCAGGTAACGCTGTAGAAGAGGATGCGAATGTAAACAGTGGAAGATCTCAGCAATATGATCTTACTACTGTCGAAGAGAATGAGAATGTAATCTGCGCTAGAAGTTCTTCCCCTAGTTCAAGCAAAATGAATGCTCTAGCTGTCGTTGCAGGTATATATGCATCTCCTAGGTTTAATTAATTTAGTTTAATCATTCAAAAGCGACGATAATAATTTCTTTGCAGGTAACGCTGTAGAGGAGGATGAGAAAGACGATCACACAAATGTCGAGGAGACTCCGAATGTGAACTGTGAAAAACAGCAGAAAGATGATCGTACTCGTACAGGTAAAAAATAGTTTTCTCGCAAATTTAATTATATGTGAATGAGATGCGGAGACCTAATGCCTTGTACCTCCAATATTTTGCAGCTTCAACGTCTCTCAAGAGAGTTCGTCCTTCTCATACCGTTAGGAACAAGAGCAAAAAGCTCGAGATCCGGGAGCCGGCAGGCAACGAGAGATCTAAAGCAAAAGCAAACAAAGCACCAAAGGATGTTAGCCGCCGGAAAGACAAACAAATTATGGTTGAGGAGGCTGTGTCATCTGAGATAGCTGGTGTGGCTGAGGACACACCGCCTGCGGCAACCAAGAAACGTAAAGGCGATAATGTGCCATCGGAGAGTATAGATCCTGACATGAGTGAGCCGCAGCCTAAGAAAGCTCGCAAGTCTCGTCTGATGAGCGATTTGGTTGGTGGAGCCAAGAGAAAAGCCAGTGCTGGTCGTAAGCCGGTTAGAGGTAGAAAGGGAAAGATGCTCCCTCAAGCCAGCCGGAAACTGAGCTGTGGCAGCGAGTCAACTGAGAGTGGGTCTGAAAGGGATCCCATCAAAGGCAAGCAAAGAAACAAGAAGTTTCAAGTGGTTGACGTGAGCGACACAGATCACGGTGATAGTAGTTTTCTATCGGTTCCTTGTCCTCCGAGTAAGAAGAGAACAAAGAGGAAGCAGATTGTAGCCAAGAGGAATAGTAACAAGGTGGTAGCTGATAAAGCGAAGAGTACCGGAACGGATGAAGGAACTTTGGTTAAACCGCGAACCGGTCCTTCCACAAACGCAATTTCTCAACCTACTCTAGATTTATCAAATGAGGTTGACGACCGTTTGGCGGAGAATGATCATGGTTCCTCTTCTAAATCCAACACTGGTGAAGTGAGAACTGGACTGGATCTTGTTGACCTCAACAGCAACAATACTGAAGCTGCGGATCGTTCTTGTGTGCTGCAAAAGGTAACAAACAAATCTTTCCATGTATTTCATTAACGTACCAAATGTGTTTTTTACATTTAGGTTAAGCTTTGTATATTACAGTTGGTGAATGAGCATTTTTGTTTTTTTTTTACTTGGCAGGATGATGCTTCTGTTGCAAAGAGAAAGGGGAAGGGAATTATGGTCGAAGAACATCAAGAAGCACCAAGAAGCCAAAGCCAAGATACAGATGAGAGTACGGAGGAAGAGATAGAGATCGCCCAGCTCATTTTAGCCTTGGACAAAGAAGAAGTCGTTGTTATCAAAGAGCCAACACAAGAAACGACTCCGCCTAAACCTCTACTCATTGATCTCAACGAGACCTACGTTGAGAACGGCGTCTTGGTGGTGGAGGATGACGACGACAACAGCTGCACACCAAGTCAGCCGGAACCTGTTGAAAGCAATGTAAGGCAGGAAGAAGAACCTTTCCAGATCGGAAACACACCGCCTGACTTCTTCGCATATCATGCACCTTCTCCAGCTGGGAACCTTCCTCCTCCTCCTCCGACCCAAGAATACCGAGCAAGCTCCAGCTACGGCTACGGCTACGGACCCACCCGTTTATCTGGTCACAACTCCCAGTGGCCATATCCATCACCGTTCCAAGCATTCGGCGGTTTCGATGCCAGACAGAGCGCTCCACATCAATACCAAGAAGCAGCTGCTCTTCTTGTTTGGCGATCTTCCATGATACCACCACATGATCATCATCACAGGCCATTCTCTTACAATATGGATCAGTCAACGAATCATCATGGTATGTTTTCACAAGCATCATCCAGCAGTCGAAACCCATGGAGCCTCAACTCTGTTGCCTCCAACGGGATGCAGAAATGCGGTTCTCATTATCCGGAATACTCATTTGGCTACAACCATGGTGCTGCTGGATTTAATGGTGGTAGATCGGTGGACCCTTTTAACCAGAATTCTATGCCAACGTTGCCTCTGTATAGCCGTATAGATCCTCGGCTGGGGCTTGACATTCCGACTGACCGCCAGGTGAACGCGAACTTCACCAAGAGGCACTTCCCTCCACCGGTGAACCAGCATCAGCAACGTATGGATCTTCAAAGAGGTGACTCAAGCAAGAAACCCTACTTCGGCAACAGACTGGAGACTTCCCGCTCCGTCTTTCAACAGCCTTCTTCGTTGTCATTCCAAGCCAAGAGGAACGACACAACTGCGCCGTCCGTGTTCCCCACCATCACTGAAGACGGGCGATTCCTGCCGCCTGGAGCGTCGAACTCAACGAGGCTCCCGGTGAAAAGTCAGGTAGTAGGAGAGAGAGAGAAGAAGCTGACGGGGAAATCAATAGTCTTGAGCGATGTCGACGCTGCTATGAGGAACAGTGCTGGAAAGATTGTGTGCACCGTAAACAAGAACCCGGCTGATTTCACCACTGTTGAACCTGGGAATGGTTACATGTTAACCGGTGAACACTTGGCACCGAGTGAAGAGCTTTTGGAACCAAAAAGCCCAACCTACAAGAGAAGACGAGCAAGCTCGAGTAAGCAGGAAGCGTTGAAGCAGAGTAAGAAGCCAGCTGGTCCATCTACAGATAATACTTCCGAAAGGAGAGATTTGTCCAGGTACGTTTCTATGACTTAACCTATTTATCTCTACTCGTTTAATGTTCGGCTTTGTGTTTTGCTGAATCTTGAAATCAAATGACTTGATAGTAAAACTAGCTTTCTTTATAACTTAGTGCTGAAAACCGATAGGTTGTTTCTTCTGCAGTTCCATTAGTTAGAATTGAGTTTGATTTCAGGTTTAGTTAGAGTTTAATCAGTCTGTTACTCAGAATCTTTGTCTCCAGTTCTAACAGAACATGTAGTTAGAACTTAGAATTGAGTTTGATTTCAGGTTTAGTTAGAGTTGAATAAGTCTGTTACTCTGAATCTTTATTGTCTCCAGTTCTAACAGAACATGTGTTTGCCTATCTTAATGTGGAACAGAGGAAGAGGGACAGAAAGAGAGACCAGAAGAGAAGAATAGAGTCAGACAGGAAACAGCAAAGTGAATCTACCTCCCCGTTATTGAATTTTTGTTTATACATCTCTTACCCTTTTCTTATGCATACCTTGGAAACATTCAGCGTGTGTATATCCTTTATATTACTGTAGTACCCTTTTAGGCAGTGTTTTTTTGGCTTTTCGATTTTTTTCGGGAAGACCTTTTTTTTCTGCTTATTATTTATTTATACAGAGTAGTCTATTTATACAGTTACATTTTGTCTTTTTGGGTTCAAATGTTACCGTTATAGCCGGTGTGAAGTGTCTTTTTACATGTCAGCTTTCTTCAAATCACAGAAAAGACCTAAAAATTAGAAGAGAAACCCTCTTCACTTTTTTTTTTTCTATAAAAAGAGAAACCATCTTATGTTTTCAATCATCTTTTTAAAAACTCTAACTAAATTGAGTTTCTTTTTCCAAAATAATTAGGTTAATTATTTTTTTTTTAAATAAGAAATTAAGTTAGTTTAAATGAAGGGTTTCCATAGGACCTTGTCTCTCAACCCAATAGGAGTCAGGCATTTGAAATTAAAATGAGAGAGATCAAACAAGGATGAATAGAGTTTGAAGAGTTCTTGGTTGTTTTTTTAAACTAGCCAGTTTTGAACGAAGTGGATGAATAAAGTTCGATGCGGGACCTATACCTAGTTGAGATAATGATCGACTCTTTTTAGTTGATTAATCTTTGAATATAATATTGTGGGTTTGATACCATGTTAATTAGTATTAGTAATACCTTAATCAATGGGTTTGATTTTGTAGCAATCATGAATCATATAGAATATTAGTATATTACTAGTATTCGCATGAAAATAATGGAAACTCCTTTTTTTTCTATACAAGGGTACATATAAAGAGTACATTCCTATTCTATCACCAACAAGAGGTGGGGTCCAACAACGGACACAGAGACGTTACATGTTTTTTATTCAGACAACGGAAGAAAACATAATAATCCACAATCACATATAAGCAAACTTTTTGCAAATATTTGTAATGAAAGGGTTAAATGGTTATAAATTTTGAATCCGCACAGAACATATTCGATCACTATGCCTTTTTTTCAAAAAAAAAAAACATATTCGATCCCTAACATATACATCCCACAATTTATTGTTATTCGCCATCACATTAATGTTTAACATGAGGAAGGTGGAAACCAATATATATGAATCATTATGAAGAATTTCTGGTTTTCCTTTGTCTTTTTTTTTTGGTAAAATTCCTTTGTCTTTTAACTTAACTGAAATAGTTTTTCTTCTTTAACGAATGACATAATTTTTAGAACATAAAAAAAATTGAGTTTACAGTTTACACCAATGAAACTTGAGCTGAGGAGAATCTACAAACCCTAGCTTGTGTATAAATAAGGCCTTGTCCACAAAAGTAACCTTTGGAAGGGCTACAATGTCTGTCTTCTGAACACACACAATTCCCTTCAAGGGCACATCCGTCATATTTGGAACCTTCTCTTCCAAACAGAATCTCATCTGACCATTCACTTGAGAACATCTGCTTAGGATCAAACTTGTTCTTCACTCCCAAGAACTTGTCAAAGTTAGGTCCAAACTTTTGCTTCACGCCAAAGAACCCCACTTTCCTGTTCTTCCCCCAATGCGGCTTTGCGCCGTGTTTGATAAACGCCATCTGCTCCATCTCCTCCATCACATCTTCGTTCAATCTCGGGGTCAACGCATCGTCCGCTCGGTAATAGTTAAAGTCAATGACCACAGAATCCTCTGTCTGCCCAAGATAAGCCGTTGAGCCCTTGATGAAACGTATGAGGATACCGTTGTAGATATCGATCCCACATAGTCTTTCAGGTTTCAAGTCTCGTAGCTTCTTCACATCGAGGAGAAAATCTCTAAACCGAGAAACGGGGAATATAGCAGTCGTCTCATAGAAGAAAAGACCATTATATCTCGGGTCCCAAGCGCAAGAAACATCAATTCTAATAGAAGATGAGTGAAGGCATGACCCAGAAGTCTGGATCTTACCTTGGTTTCCGATAACCGGATATCCGGTAAAGAGTAAACCATTGTTCTTTAGACCGTTCCCGGTTAATTTCTTGTAGGCCAACGTAGTATCTGCCGTGTTGCATTTTCCCTTCTCGTTCTTGTTGGATTCAAGTGCCTTCTCTGAAACATTTACAAATCCAAGATTTTGATTTCAACATCTAAACCGGATAATGCGATTACGTCTAGTAAAAGAAGAAAGGAACTAACCTAATGCTCGAACCCCTTTAGAGACCAAGATGGGATTAGACTGAAAACCAATGAAATCGTTGACTCCCTTGCCGGAGACGTTGACCGGTAATCGGATATCGTAACGGTAAACCGCGGTTTTTCTTGAAGGGTACCAAGTTATGTCTCCGAATTCGAATTTCCTCCCATGATCCACGAAAATGTCTTCAAGTGCCACGTCAGATGTAAAGTTATACGTCATACTTCTCTTGAAGGCTTTCTCAATCGAAAGCTTCACCTACAAAATGGAGTTCACGAAAAAAACAAAAATGAAAAAATCAGTAAAAATACACACATACATACATGTGTTAACGGCGTTAAGTTGATATACCTTTGAGATGACTCCTAAAACACCCAACGACACTTTAGCGGCGTTAAGAAGCTTATCGTCTTTCCCTCCTTCGAGTCTAACAACCTTGGCGAAGCCTTCCGATGAGTTCGCCGGAACAACAAGGCTGATTCCGAGGACATGGTCGTGAACCGAACCGCCTCGTCCCGACCACGAGCTCCCGTGGGATCCAGTGCTTATCAGCCCACCTATACTCACTCCTTCCCAATACGGTGACGTTGCGATGCTAAACCCAGCTGCTTCAACTTTATCGATGAGCTCTCTCAACGAAACTCCGGAGTCAGCCGTAACCGTTAACCGGTCCGGTTCAATTTCGATAACAGAGTTATACTTTGACGTACTGATTAGCATTGCGTCTGAACCGGAAGGACAAGCGAGTTTCGGTATGGTGTGAGAGAATTTGGTGACGGTTTTAACCTTGAGATTGTGCTCAGCCGCGTAAGCCACTGCTTTACGGAGCTCCTCCTCCGTCGTTGGGTACGTGACGTTAGCGGCATGGCAGTTTTGCCGGTCAGGCCACGTGCCGTACGCGTTCGAGACTGTGCAGCCGGTTTGGTCACATCGAACCGGTGGTTGTGGTGGTACGGATAGGACGGTCCATATAGTGACGAAGAAAGATAAAACTGAAAAATGGAGAGTATGAGAACCACGCATCATTGATTATGCGGAGAGAGATAATGTTATTTGATTTATGTTTTCTCTTTTATCTGTTGGATCTGTAATTTGCTTTTGTTTATTAAGATTATGTTGCTTAATTATGTAGACTTGTGTTGGGATGTAAAACATTGCTTTGAAGGAAATAAATCTTGTTGGATCTCTTGTATTAAGTAGGGTATGCCTTTTTAACTCTTATGTTTTTTTCTCTATAGATATGTTGGCAAATTGGCATTTTTGGATTTTTTATTTATTTTGAGCATCATTTGTCCTTTTCCCACCAGTGATTGATATGGCTAAGAATTATAAATTCGTATTATCCAAGATCTTGGTTCAAACCTAAATTATTGAAAAATATTGTAGGGTAGATTAAATTTCGAACTACCACTAAAGTATGCCATCATTCCTAGAACATAGATACGCTCGTATAAATGGACGTTGGTGTTTCAGATGGAAAATAATGGATCTAAATAATGAAATGGCGGAAATTGACAAAATAGTTTATCTGACAAAACAGTACAAAAAGAAAGAGAAAGCCTGTAGTGTTGGTTTTAAAGCGTAAAAAAATGATTGATGCTTAGAATTAGTTTAACAGTGGGTATAATACTATGTAGTTTAGAACAATTTCCACTTAAAAAAAAAAAAAAAAAAAAAAAAAAAGAGTTGATGTTTGCAATCAGTTGAATATAAATCATGCTAATCAGTTAAAAAAAATTTAGTTGGTTACGGTTCCGAGGATTGGTATTGGTACTATATTATTATCATGGAATAAACGTCAAACAAACCCCTCTAAAATCATTGATCACACCCTGCCCAACCGATATTATTTATAACTAAAGATGTTCTGGTGGGAACAAACCCTCATGCCTATCTGGTTCAGCTTTTGTAGGACCGTTTTTTATAATTTAATTTAATGGTTATAGAACTACTTGGCACGACTCCTACCATGTCATTATATATGGTTAAATGTGAATTGATCCGCAAAGCCAAATTAAAGGATCGGGATGGATATAAACCTACAACTTAAAACCAAATTAGAGTTTAATTTCTAGTATGCATTAAGTCAGATTACATCGTTACTAACTTACTATTCAATAATTTGAGAGAGCTTGAGTCATGCAACAAACATGAATTAGTTGTGCATTTAAGGTTTTCTGGTTAATTCATGGCTAGATCATCTCAAGCATCATATATAACTACTTCAGCGTTTATGTAGACAATGCAAAGAAATGACCTGAACATGTTCTGGTCTCTGTGGAGTTGCCTCTCAGTCTCAGCTATAAATAGAGACCACCACACATGTTAATGCCTATAGCTATCCGAAAAATGACCAATCCATGCATGATGAGCAGGCAAAAACACATGAGCTAAATTTTCTAATTTCTCAACTATATATTTCTTCTTCCGTTTTCTGATGAAAGTACTCCATCAGAACAGAATCAAATGATTACTCAAATCTATACCGACGACTGAAAAGCTAGGATATACTGCACACAAGGATGATTATATATATATATATATATATGCAAAGAACTTTCTAAAGATAAATATTTAAAGATCTCTAGCTATTTTTGTACACAACTTCATCACTATACTGTCATTGGTTCATATATGCTAGATTTTATGCTGAGACACTTCTAGTCTTCATGAACATACATTGATTGAAGGATCACTGAGAGATCATTACCAATTAACCCTCTCATACGATAATAATGCTTTACGTTTGACATTTATATTTTTCACTGATTTGGCAGAATCTGGAATGGATATATACAAAATGAGATCCTGCTTAATACTAATCATTGGCAAAAACCTACGAATGATCACCATTCTGCATGTTACTAATCAGATTCACCACCATCTACACATATTTATAAAGCCTTGAGTAATTATCTACCAAACTATTCCAACCAAGTAACATAGTATCTTACCTTTTAACTCTCCACTTCTTTTAACAACGTTTCTAACCTTTTACTTTACCAACAAACATTATTTAGAAAAAGGCAACACAAATGAGATTGTGATTCCTGCAATCAAAAGGTGGTTTCCCAGCTATTTATTTCTCAGAAATATATTTTTGGGTCATTCGAAATTTATATTAACTCGCTTCATGGCAATAATATATCGTTCGACCTAATAAATATGCAGTTTTTATTCCGCCGTAAATTCTAGTAAATTTAAAATCGTCGTTTGAAATCATAATTTATTTAGGAAAAAACGACTATATATATACACACACATAGATAGGGGAGAGACAGAGACGAAGGCCCACACTTCTTTAACAAAAGAACAACAAGCCCGTGACCCCAAACTAGCTTTCAGATTTATTTTTATCTGACATAATCTCCACCGTTAGATTTTATTTTCTCATGTCCCATTCTGACTCACATCCAACCGTCCATATTCCTCAAGGGTCTTCAATAGGTGGGCCCCTTTTCTTCTTCCTCTCGCTGTGCACTCTCCTTCCAGCGCCAGAGCCACCGCCCTCGCCACCTCTTCCGCCGGCGCCACCGTAATCTCCTCGCCGGAAACTCCTCCTTTTCCGTAGACGATGGAAAGTATGCTAATGGCGTATTCTCTCCCCCTCCCCGCCAGTCTCGCCATCACGGCTACCATCGCCGGAACCGTCATCGCATGAGCACGAACCTCCGCCGCGCCTTCCGCCGTCGTGCACATGAGCTCAAGCGCAGCTAAGGCTCGCTCCACCGCTGAGATCTCTAGTCCCGCCGCCGTTTCCACCACCGCTCTAGCTGCTCCCGCCTCGACCGCCACGTGGCGGTTCCCTTCTGCGAGGCAGAGCGCGAGGAGGATCTTGGTGACGTATTTGGCAGTTACGATCTTGTTGCTCCGAAGGCAAGAGACGAGGCCTCGCATGAGACCCGGAGGACAAGTCGGATCAGATGGCGGGTCAGGTACGACGACCCGCTCGAGTAGCTGAAGAGCGAGGAGCTTGTCGGATTCGGAGACGGATGTGAGGTGAAGCTCTGCGATCTGGAAGGTTTCTTGAAGAGTGGAGGAGACCGGAAGAGGCGGCGGCGGAGGAGGACGAGCAGGAGCAGGAGGAGGAGCTGTGGACGGAGTTTGATCAAGGTGGTGAGGGAAACGCCATTGTGTGAAGCTTTGAGAAGTGGAGGTTGAGGAGGAAGAAGAGGAGGAGGAGGTGGTTGTGGGCTTGCGGCGAGGTTGCTGGTGAGGAGAGGTGGGACTGAGGACGGACTGTGTGCAGCGGCGGAAGAAGCCGCAGGAGAAGAGAGGACGCGGAGGCGCGTGAGGTTTGGGTTTCTGGTTTGCTTTCATCATCGCTCGTTGGAAAGATTGGGGAGACTGGAGTGGAAGTGAAGTGAAGCGTCTCTTTTTAAACAAGCGAGTAAATAATTGATTCGCACCAAATTTTGTCAGGCGTAACACTTGTATTCTCCCTAAGAATTTATTACTCGTATTAAATCATAAATTATTATTACTATAATCATGTGCGTGCCCATACAGGGGGGATATAGAAGAGATAATCCAAAAAGTGATATGATTAGGGTTTTGTGTGGTTAAACTTAAATCTTTATCTGAAGACGACAAAAGGCAGACTGATTTGGGTCTTAAACCCATAAAAATTAGTCTGCAATCACAAACATGGAATCTTTTTCTATTACCAAAAAAAAATGTTAAAAAAAGAGGCTTCTATAAACTTTAAATTCAGAATGTGACAAAGGTCAGAAAGCAAGAGTCTGCAAAGTAACTCAGTTTCCAAAGCCTAACACCAAGAATTTTGTTAAGCCAATGGTTTTTCTCTACGAGTGCCCAAAAAAACTCATAAATATTCTACAAATGTGAAAAAACAAAGAGAGAAGAAGGGTTTTAAACCTTTTAACGAACCAATCATCTCCATTTTTCGCTTAGTTCCTTCTTCTCTGAAAGGACCCAAGTAATGTAGATGGCTGCAACGAGTGCTACAATTGTGATCAAGAGAAGCGCGTAGCTGAAATCTTCGGTGAGCGAGTCATATGTCTTTGAAGGAGCAAGCCTTGTGTAGAAAAGATCCACTCCATAGGCAAAGACGTGTGTGGTTGACTCTAGCTTGGCCGGAGCTGTAATTATGCCTCTCAGACCTTCTACTCTGAGGGAGTGTGTTATGTATGACTGTGAAATATGACAAGTGCATTAGAATCGATACAATCACGAAAACTAGGAATGTGCACAGAAACCAAACAAAAATATGGAAACTGGGAATGAGTGGAACCTGAGGAATGATGGGTAATGAATCTGTGAGAGGGATGATTCCTTCTTCTTTCTCAGCTTGCGACGGGTTAAGTGTCCGGCGTGGATCCACAAATCGTTTATCAAGTGCCAATATCTGATCATTCATTGGGACAGTTGTGAGTATCGGTTTACCAATCCATGGAGGGGTCTATATATGATAAGAAATGTACAAACCTGATCTCCGATGGTTCCAATGAGAAGCTGCTTTGAAGTTATGCCCTTAGCTGTTGATGTCACCGCAATGGTTTTCACGGACTGAGCAAAGAAGTACGACTGTGACTTTGTGAGCACCTCTGTTCTAGAGTATGAAGATATCGGTGCTGTTAGATTGTGTTTTCCCAGAACCAGTTTCCAGACATTTTTGTTCTCCTGCAAATAAAATTTATAATGTCACACGGAGCGAATAACGCAACACTCAAATCAACTGGTAAAATGTTTCGGGTATGAAGTCATACCGCTCGAGACTGATCATAGATCTCAACGACTGTGAACTCATACTTGTGAGCTCGAAGGTTGAAATAGTGGTAAACAACCCAATTCTCACTAAAAACCTGGAAACAAAATAAAGGCTTAGAAAGTTGCATTGAATATGTTACAAGAACAAATGAGATGAAATAGAATGAGAACTTACAGCATGGACTGGCCCTTGGCAACCTTGATGAGACAAACGGTGCAGTATACGCCCTGTGATGGTGTCAATGAGGTATACTACAAGTGCTGACTCTTCTGGTGTAACTGAACCAATCTCACCAGCGCCTTTTGGTGACACTGTGGCTACAAACAGCAAGTTTCTTGAAACGTATTTATACAATAGGTCCTGGTCTGAGTTGACTTTGGCTTGTGTATGAACAACCTGGAAATACAATCGAGGCAAGTCACGATTAATTGTTTTGAGTAAGCCACTAACAAGAAGAAGCAAAATAAGAAATGACTTTAGAAACCAAGATTCACCTCATTTGGTTTCCGTGTTAGTGTTGAAATAATTTTCTCAGATTCCGAAGGAAACACAACAGTCCAAAGTTCCCTGGTAGTAAAACAGTACTCATCTGCAGTCTCACCAGAGCAACTGCTCTTCATTGCGTGTCCTCTGATAATACCATTATCAGCCTCAACGGTGTACCAATACACATTTTGAAATTCGCGTTGAAAGATGCTGAGAGCCTCTGAAGTTTTTGGGTACAAGTGGACGTGTCCGTGGGTATCAGCTATGAGATGTAAACGTTGTTCCGTTGAGTCGGTGAATGGAAGAGGCATAACTTGCACAACAGAGTGACCGATATCTGATGAGCTAATCTCCTTTCCCGTGTAGACATCTACAAATGAAAGTAGACCAGGCGCACTTGAATCTGATCCACACCTGCCAACTACAAGAACAGAAGGATTCTCGTCCATGGCGTGATGATGAGGGACCTGCCATTGGTACAAGCTAATGCCGTTTGGGCGTCCACAGGCTTCTGATTTGCTCGGAGAGTTTAGCAGCATAGACCAGACAATCCTCCCATCTCCAGTGTGCAGAGCAAAAAGTTTTCCAGCTTTGGTAAGTGCTATGATTAGTTTCCGAAAGCCATTATGGTCACGGGTCAGTTTGTTCTTTCCAGAACTCTTGAACCTCATTTCTTGAATTGCTGCCACATCCTCTGGGGTTGCTAGCAACAAGGTTCCCTTAAGCTTCAGCACGTGTCCCTTCCAAAACAAACAGACAAAAAAAATCAACTAATTGGGTGAGGAAAGTAGGAAACCAGAAGTGTACGTCAAACACAAAACTAAGTAACACAGCTCCAAGGAAATTAAGAAAACATTCACACCTTAAGCCAATCAAGTAGAGTGTGTTCCACTTTTGCCACTGATACACCATCCTTCTCCACAGGGAGTTCTGCCGTTGTAACATCAGTCACTGAAGCTAAGCCTTCTTCCCTGCTCCAAACAATCGCCCCTTGTTGCAGTAACAAGAGTGAGTGATCTTCCATCACAATAAGCGCCCTAAATCCATTACTCCTGTCTGTCTTGATATAGTTGTTTATGAAAACTTTATGCACACGCCCCCTATTTTGGTCCATTTGGATGCTCTCTCTAAGCAATACAGTATCCAAGTCATCAACAAGTTTCACCATGAGGTGAAGCTTGCTCCCTTCATGATGAACTGTGGCAAAGGCCACCTGATCGTCTGCAACTGGAAGTGAATCACTCATGGCCGTTTCATCAGATAATGAGTCTACCACCTCCAGCTTTCCTTCACCACCAACCCTCACAAATATAGTGCGCTTATTGACTTTTACAGCAACCATATCGCTCAGAAGAGGTGATAAAATCTCAGCCTTTCCAGACTCCTCAACAAGATCTGCAATATGGGTCTTCTGGAAGCTAATATCTCCATCTAGGAAGCTAATAGTAACCAAAATTGACCTCATTGCATCAAGGGCAACAACTTTATCGGTTGAAACTGATGAAATTTCGCCAGAGAATCCACCTGGGAACACCATACTTTTTTGTGCCACTACCTCTCCACTTTTGGAATCAATCTGATAAACAACAGCCTCAGACGAATCAAGGAACCCCAGCACATAAATTATACTACTTCCAGGAGGTTGAAGAACCCGCTGAACTTCAAACCTGCAGAAGGTACCACAAAGCACATGCAAATTATTACTAAACGCCAAAGGCATTAAAATATGGATGTCTACATTTGGAGGAACCTCATTCAAGTATTAAGTGAAGGCTGTCATACCCTTCTGCTGTGAAATCCTTTTTCCAGAGGACCTCACCATCTACGGCAGAAACAGCATGGAGATACCCACCACCGAAAACAAGAATAGGGTAGTCCTTATCAACCTTCAAATTTGTCTGCAAGGCAGCTTTAACTCATAAATAATCAACCAAAGGAATGATGATGCAACTACGATTTCAGATAATATCACTCTTATAATAAGAAAGCTAAGAAAGCAAATAACAAAACTTATATTACTAACCGGCACTGATAACAGTGACTTTGAATGCTGTGCGCTATGCAGCGATGTTTCCCACACCATTTGGCCATCAGGAAGGTTCCAGGCTCTTAAATTACTTCCTTCTGATGAAAGCGTGATAACATCTGAAACCAATTGAAGCCAAGAAAATAAAATTCAAGATGCTGCTACATTAATGTTGCAGGTGAAAGCAAATATACATGTAGTAAAGATAATTCCTACATTTTCCCAAGGCAATATCAACCCCATCGATAACGTCCTTTGTCCCGAGAACATGCCTCCAGACTGCAGCAAACCAAATAACAAAGTCAAAAATAAGGAAAAAGATAAAAAACGAAACAGAGCCGTGACACGATTCAACATGGATAACAAATATATGAATGAGAATCACTATGCTTACATATCTCCCCGAGCCTGAGATCAAGTGAAGCAACAACATTCTCTTCGGTTGACACGATAACACGCTTTCTCCCAGTCTTCTGAGTGTGGAATACTGCGTGCTTCACTTTCCCAATGTAGCGTTGGTGCCTACGCAATCAAAAAACAAAAACAAAACAATTGATTCTCTCCTCCAGTAAACACTAATACTTCTTTCACTACTATTCCCTTAGAAATCAACAGCCATAAAGTAGCTTAACCCGATCGCATCTCAAATTCAATACTAGTGTTCGAAAAGGATCCTTCCGTGAATCGTATCAGAAAACGATATTGCAGCTAGTGAGATCTAAAATACAGATTATAGATACACTGGGGACTGGATTGATCTAATTAGCGAAAGCGAAAGCGATAGCTCGATCCTCTAAATCGGGAACTTTTAAATGCTGTAAGCTTTCGAAGACTTCACATAGCAGTAGTAAGTAAGCTTCGAAACTTCTCAACTAATAGAGACAGAAGAAATCGGATGAAGAAGAGAGACGAGTTACCAATCCATGAGGCCGACTTGATCTTCATAAAGGGAGAAGGATAGAATTGCAGATGATAAGAAGAGGAGAAATAGGAGATAAACCCTAATTGCCATAGCCATGGCGATTGCTGACTAATTTTCTTCAGCAAGTAGCTCAGTAGATCTGGAGATGGAAGAGAGTTTTCGTCTGTGAAGGAAATCGTGCTGGGCTTTAACAAGCGAAGGTCTTCTCTATTTTTTTCTTCTGGAGTAAAATTTTATTTTATTTTGTTGGCCTCACAAGCCAAATTATTTTATTTTTAGATCATCACACCAATCAGATTGAACAGAACAAATTGTGTGAGAATAAATTTCTTAAAAAGTGACAAAAATAAAAGTTATCAACCTGTTAATTACAAGACTAATTAAAAATACTAATTCTCATAGTAGTCGTTTTTTTTTTTTGTTTATGCATCACTTTTACATTTACCATAAGCTTTGCTACACCAAAGAAAATAGAAAACATTCAGGACAGACAAGGACGCCATGAGCCAATAGTAATAGTCCAAGTGTCCCTCGTCTATATCCTCTGTGATCCAGCTCCCGTGGGTGGCTGCGTCTACCACAGTGACGATCCAGGAGGAGACTAGGCTTGCGGCGGCCATGCCGAGGCCGGAGAGTGTGGTGGCGACGCTTGACATGGAGGTTGGAAGCTCAGAGTAGAAGAACTCATTCTGTGCTATCGAAAGAAATGCTTCCGCGATGCCTCCTAATATCATGTACGGCAATAGCCACATAGCCGACAACATCGTACCTCTGTCTTCTCTCTAGTTAATCAAACCACACAACACAACACAAACATTAAGAAAGCATGTCACTGGTGTTCAGTTTCAAAAGTGACTATTTTCATGATTAGCTCAAAAGAAACATTAGAATAAATCTTGTTTTGGTTGTTTGGAAACCGAAAATCTTGAACCAAAATCCGGATTGAAAACTTACGGCTTGTTTTCTTCTGACGAACTCCACGGTCGCGAGAGTGGAGATGCATATAACTGTTAGTACAATTCCAGCTCCCATTCTCACCATAACTCCCAATCGGAAGGGCTTTCCTAGAGCCCAAGAAACTAACGGGACGAGAACGAGATCATAAAGAACAAGGAAGAGCACGAAGGAGATGACCAAGAAGATGCCATAAGAGCCCGGGGGAATCTCGAAACCCTGAATGAAGGTGCGGCGATCCATAGCTTTGGCTTGAAGGACTGTGAAGGAGACTTGGCAACCTGTGACAAGTGATAAGATGATTCCCGTTGACCAGATGGGTAGGACATTGATGAGGGATTTGAGATCTTCCACTTGTTGCACCCTACATAGCTTCCATGGACTCCATGAGTTCCCTGTTAGGGCTAGGTCTTGGTTCGGGTTACTTGTAGCACAAGCTTTGTTCAAATACCTATAGTTGCAAAATTTTATTCAAAATGTATCAGATTTCGTTAGATAATTTATATTCGTGTATATTTTGACAATGCAAATTGTTTTAGAAAAACCAAAAAACTCCAAAAGTCAAATAGCGGATTGAATATACCTCAATTTCTGGCTAGGAATTGAAAATGAAGATCCTGTCTCGTGATGGTACGATATAATATACTCCTCCTCCGACAAATTAACGTGCCAGTTCCTGAAAGCAGCAACGAGAACCTGGAAAAGTCCAGCAACGAGCCCGGACTGATACTTGTAGTGGACATAAAACGGAGTAGCCGCGAAAAACAAAGTCACCGATAGAGCCATGGCAGCGACGGAAGCTCCAAAACCGATTTTCCAACCATACGTTGTCTGAACGAAGACGAGTAACGACTGAGAGATAAAGCAAGCGAGCATGACGGAGAAGTAGTACCAGTTGAAGAGGGTTTCTAGGGCTGATGTGGTGACACGTGATGTGTGGTTGGGTTGGAGCTGGAGCTGGTCCGCGGCGAAGGCTAAGCAGGAGGACCTGACGCCGCCGGCACCGATGGAGGTGAGGGTAAAAAATGAATATAGGAGAAGAAGTTGGAGCCGTGTGGTGGGTTGGCACACGTGTGTTGATTTGTCGCAGTCTGGTTGAATTATTGTTGTCAAGAGTAATAAAAGCATCCCCTATTTTAGCCGTATACAAGAAAGTGAGTAACATTAATCAGTTACTAACAGTTACTTATGTAATTAATGTCCATCATGGAAAAATATGCAATGATTATCAGTACTGTATTACGTAGGTGATAGTTACATCGTTAATTATGATAATTAATATTTTTTACAAAAATAATATGGTGGTAAAATAAGACTGGATCAGATTCACAAGATCCATTTTTATAAAATACTGTCATTGTAGAGTACGTGACAACTTTACTGAATTATTAGAACGAGGAAACAGTAGTTACATCGCGTTGACAACAAACATATGACTTACATCAAATGTTAATTGAGATCATTACTTCCATTATTATTATTTTTTGGTAAGGAAAAGTTGGAAAAAATAAGAACTTAGTTGCATGATTACAAGACTGGATATTTATTTGAACTCAACTATATCACATTGAATAACATACATAAGTACGAATTCACGGACTAGAAAAATGAGATCATGTGAATAATCTAAGTAGAGAAATGAACACGAATTAAATCAATTTATTGTGGTTCTCATAATTTGACATAGATGTTAATTACCAGAAGGCTGATAAAGGATCCAAAGCCGATAAGAGGAAAACGGCCCGTGTAAGAGTCAGCGATAAAAGCACCAACAAGAGGGAAGAAATTGGTGGCGGCAGACCAGAGGAAGATGATGTTGGCAGCTTCCGCCGTTCCCATGCCGTATTCCGCCGTCAAGTAAAGTATCATGTTCGGTACCAATCCGTAATATGCAAGTTTCTCCAACGCCTGACTTGCTATCCAAAACCGTTAAAACAAAAATTATTATCTCCAAATAAATTGAAACTGTGTGTGTGTGAATACGAGAATTTTATACCAAGAATTATCGAAATGGTCGTAACATTGCCTTTCGCCGGCTGCTGATGCGTAGATTTTCTGGCGAGAAGAGCTTCTTGATCCATTTTTTTTTTCTTTTTTCTAGTTTTATTTTTAGAGTGTCTCTTGGTTGGTACTAATACATGTCTATTTGTTTGTTTACTTAAATGATTTGAGTATTAAACCACTACGGTCTACGGAACACTCCAACATCTGAAATATAGGGAAACTTGCATTACTATAATCCATAATTCGCTTACGTATCTTTGCGGGTCATTAGCTAGGATTAAATAATTGGACGTGTTATCAATCTTGTTTGCTCGTGTTAGGAATCTTATGAAAAAACAATATGAGACATATGCTTTCTACGCGAAAATCATAATTTCGTTTCGTTTTACCAACAAGTTTATGTTAAGAAGGACGCAATGACAGAATTAGAGAGAGAAAAAAACGGAAATGTTTTACCAAAAAAAATAAATATGGAAATGTCTTTTTGGTCAGAAGGAAAGCGTCTAATTTCAATCTTCGGGACAGATGATTAACTAATGGGCTTAATTAACTGCACAGGCCCATTATAATAACACAGAAAAGGCCCATGGCAAGCAACACACCCCAGATTTTGCAGCTGAGACTTGAGACAAAGAAAGATTGATGATCGCTGTCGCTGAAGCCTGAAGGATTTGTCATTTGAGAAATAACTGAGCTTATCCGTTCCAGAAACTCACAGAGAACTCTTCGAGCAGTGACGAATGGAGGACAAAACGTCAGCGTTATCGATCTCTGAAGATTTGTCCCGGAAAATAATCTCTCTTGCCGCCGGTGAAGCGCATACTATCGCTCTTACTGGTAAAACAAATTAATTCCACTGCTTCATTTAAGCGCATACTATAGTGATTCCTATTTCATTTTTCAGCTGAATTTTTCTTTGTTGAAAAATTACAGGCGATGGGTGTGTTTACTCGTGGGGAAGAGGAATGTTCGGGCGTCTTGGTACGGGTAAAGAATCGGACGAGCTTGTCCCGGTTCGAGTCGAGTTCGAGCTCCCAGATCAAGCCACCGTAGATCGGGCTCGAATCGTTGGTATTGCTGCCGGTGCTTATCACAGTCTCGCTGTCTCAGGTGGTTTCTTCTATTCACATGTATTTCAATTTCACTTTTTCTGTTCCCATCTGCTGCTGATTTGATCAAAATGTTTATTTGAGAATTTGGTGACTGTGATGATGACCAGAAAGAAGACTTTATTTGATTAGACTAGCTCCAATTTCTGCATCCCTGAATTTCCATTTTTGTTGATCGAAAGGGATTTGTGAGTTTAGTTTAGTGGATAATAGACTTCAAAGTGCAGACTTGAGCTTTTTTCATGTGTATGATATGGATCTGTATTGACCATTCTCTTGATTTTGTTTCTTTTGCCTTGTAAGCTTTTGGCAGATGATGGCTTGGTTTGGTGTTGGGGTTATAATATGTGTATCCTTTATCTGAATGTTACCGTCTCTTGCTTGATTTGATATTTTTTTTATAACTACATGTCTCTGCATTGGCTGCTACAATCTATAATGCTTTAAATCCTTGACTGGTAAATGGATGGCCAACTTGGTTTTGATGGGGGAAATTCCTTGTCACCATGCTTGGTAGAAAATTTCTTTGAACAAGAAGCACATACTTCTTCTCTGAATGATTCAGGTAGAGGAGATGGATCAGATTTAAAGGTATGGTTCTGAAAAACAGTTACTTAGTGTCGGTTTACAGGTCAAATAGTCCTGAAGCTCAACATTTTTTGCTATCCTTGGTAGGTTTGTGCTGTCAAGGCCGGATCCATGATGTCCCTTGCCATTGATAACGCCGGGGGTCTTTGGATGTGGGGCAATGTTCCACCTCAAGACAGCGGAGCTGAGCCTCGGTTGTCTTTAACAAGCGTCCCGGTTCCATTTCCTATACCGGAGTTCCATGGACGGACTGTTTTGAAGGTAGCGTGTGGGGATGAACACGTTGTTGCCCTTGTTGGTCCTAAGGATATCATCCACAAAGACAACAGTTATCAGGAATCTGTTTTGTACTCTTGGGGAAGTAATCATCAGGGCCAGTTAGGGCTTGGGGATAGAGAAAGCCGTGCAAGGCCTCAGATTGTGGAGACGTTTAACCAGGACGCTGGTCTTACAGTCTACGACATAGCTTGTGGATCTCACCACACAGCTCTCCTCACCCACAGGAAGGAGGCACCAACAGGACCTAGCATTTGCTGGACATTCGGGTTTGGAGAAAATGGTCAGCTTGGTCATGGAAGTACCAAGAGCTCATCGGTTCCAGAGCCAGTTTCAGAGCTTCCAGAGCATGCTTACTTAGTATCTGTGGACTGTGGGTTATTCCACACAAGCGTGGTTTCATCTGAGGGATACGTGTGGTCGTGGGGAATGGAGAGGGGATTAGGGCTATGCCCTGATGTCAATTTCGCTGACGTGGAAGCAGGAGATGACAGTATGCCGAGAAAGATTTCGGGTGGGTCAAGATTCCGTGACCCGGTTCAGGTTTCTTGCGGGGCTGCACATACAGTTCTTGTGGCAAATGGTGGTTACAAGCTTTGGTCTTGGGGAAGAGGGAGAAATGGAGTGCTCGGGACCGGGAATGTTACCGATAGTTATGTTCCCACTCTCGTCTTCTGGCCGAATGAGCTGAAACCGAACGATGAAGAGGTGCATAAACCTGATGCTGCTGGGAAAAGCTCGCCAACAGAGGAGGTTAAGAAGCTAGAGTCAAAGCTAATGGTGATGGAGAGATATGCAAGCATACTCCATGGATCCATATTTGGGAAACCTTTCAACGAAGAGGAAGATATACCGTATTCGTTGCGGGTTTCAGGGTATTTCGATATGGGAAAAGAGTGGGGAGAGATGGTGGAGAGTGCAGATAAGAGTCAGCTTGTGAGGCTTCAAGCTTTCTATGAAGACATGATTGGGAGGGTTAAGGACAAGTTGTTGCAGAAAAGGATTCAGGAGATTATGAAAGATTGTCTTCAATCTTCAGCCCCTAGACACTAAGATATAGTGTAATATCAAACTGTTATGTGCCTAAAGCCTAAAATAATATCAACTTTTTAGTGATGGATAACACATTTGAACGTCCTCATAGTTAAGTTATTTCCTCAATCAGCCATTTTCTAAACTGATTCAAAAAGCCAAAAAATACTGAAACAAAATGAAAAGAGGTTCTTAGACAGGAACAAAAATGTGAACTCATGATCACTCAAAAATAGTTACTATACGTTTTAAAACTCCTCTTAAACCATTTACCTTACGAAATTTTCAAAAAAAAAAATCAAAAACTTGAAAACTTATAAAAGGTATTTTCAGGAATGCCCCCATCAAAACCCATATCTAGAATCAGTCCAAAAGTTATTTTGTGTTAAATCCTATTTTTGAAAAAATTGTTAGCACTGTTGTATCACATCATCCAACAACGAGTGCAGGACAACAAAAAATCATCCAACAACCATTGCAATGTCCTTTCGTATTAAATTTTCCAATAAATCATGTCGATACAATCATTTTATTCCCAGCTCACTATTAATGTATGTGAAACAGGAATATATTGAATTCAAAGTTAAACGTAATGTAATTTAACGACAGTTGGTCTGAAACTTACTAAATTACATTACGTTTTAAGTCTAGGCAATAAGGGTTTTTATCCCCCTATGTTTTTTTCTTCTTTCTCATGCGTTTTTACTTTTTAGTCGAAAAACCTTTATATAAAAAAGACAAAATTTCCAGATTGTCGACCAACTATTCTATACCTATAATATTAATCGGTTGCATGTTACGCATTGGATTTGGGTACGACCCTCCCTATTGTCTAGCACTTTTCTGTGGGCACTGGGTTTTGCATAGAATAATACTTAACATTACTAAATCAAGCAGCACTAACTCAAGATATTAGTACAAGACAATAATTAAAAGCACCCTTCAAATGGCAAGCGGCAAATAAAGTTTTCCACAAATAATATTGTCTTTTGAAGGCAACGCTTTAATACGGACGTATCAAGTTTACTCAATTGCATTTTATCATTGCCATGGGTTTGTGCTCTGTATCCTCTTTCTTTTTTGCTTTGTGATCGTTTTACATTCAATAAGAAAACACTAATTACAATAACATTATATATATATATATATTTATATTTAATAACATTATATTTTCAATACAGAAAGACAATGGACAAAAGCTTTATAGAATTGATAGAGGCACTTTTCGTTTTTGTTTTTTTAGCGAAAAGGTTGATGGATGCACTTATTCATAAGATAGCGTGATTTATATATATTTCTTATGTTTTTGTAGGTAGGTTGCGATTGTTACAAACGCCAATTCATTTGTTGCGTTTATATAACAAATGTGTGGAACTCACGTTTAGATTATAGGTGTTCATAAAAAAATTGCATATATGGCATTTGCGTTTAAAATTTACAAGCCGCTGAACCGTATGAATAAGCCAACTAATCCGCAAGGCAAATTACCGTTAAGTCAGTTTTCTAATGTATTTTAGTGATTTACGCGAATCCGACCGAGACATATACCGTCAACTAATTTAATCGACTAAACGTTATTTATCTGCCGACTTTCTTGATATTTAGAAACAGATCACACTAGTGGAGTATTTCAAGTGGTTCAGATGCCCTTTTATTTCTATAACAATTTCAGCATTTTGTAAAGTCATTTTTGACGATTTTGTTCCAAATCTAAAAAAAAAAAGTAATAAAGGAGTCAATGATTCCTTTTCCGTTTTTGGAGTTATGCATAGTTTCATCATTAGACAGATAAAAATTTATTTAAGAATTTCAACACCTCACAAAAGATATGCAAAGAAAGTTATGTCGGATCCACTCTAGATTTGCGTGGTCTAATGTCGGTTAATAAAACCTATAAGGAATAAATTAAATTAGTTTTTAATAAACGACTAAATATACATATATATCATGGAGTATATAGTTAGTGGGGAATAGGTGCCAGATGGTAGGGCTATGCATGTGGACATAAAACCAATTGAAACCGATTCAGATTAACCCAACCAAAATCACATCAAAATAACAAACCAAAGGTAAGAAAACTGACATCGAATCAACTTAAACTTGGTGAATTAATACACAACTAAACTAACCAAAATCACATCAATTGGTATCTAATAAACCTAGCATAACTCAAATGATAATCCGTTGGTTTATTTATTAATCTTTAACCGTTAGCTTGAACTTTGTACTTTTGCAGTTTAGGTGAAAAGGAAAAATATATGCGCATTTATTTGGCATTCAGACAATTAGTAAAACCTTCTGTCGGAGGAACCTTTTTTTAACAATTAAAAATATATACTATATAGAATCAAAGATGACCAGCTTTTACGTTTGGATTCTGTCATTTATATTATATAATTTGTAAAAACGTTGTAGATTATTTATGTCGGAAAATCAAGCTTTAGTTTAGAGGATTAAGAGAGGAAGTGATTCAAATTCTTGTTGCTTCTTTCTCGAATTGATGAATCTCTAAATCCGTACGAATGAGATCGTATATGAAATTGTCTTACTCGATGTGAAGTGATTCTTGTCTTGTCAAGCATGGATTCAATCGTTCAGAGCTCGCTTTCGTTAGAAAATACGTTAATGCTGTTAGTTCGTACTATTTCGCTTAATGCGGCACATCTTGTTGTAGTTTAGTGCATCAAATTAATATAATGAGTTGTTAGTATGTTTTGGCGCCGTTAAAAATAAGACGCTACATTTGGGCATATGGCGTCAACTAAAAAAAGATCGGATTGGTACGATTATTTTTTGTCAACTAGTTTAATCAGTTGTATCGTAATTTAGTTATATCATTAATCAGTTTGGTATGGATGTTCTTTCGAGAGCGATCATATTCTTTCTGCATATGCCCAAATGTGGCGTCTTGTTTCATTTTTTTGTCCGGTCAGATTTTCAATTTCCAAACAATGTATTCAAAGTATCAGAGGTCTTATATGTGACGGGGATGATATGGTCTATACAGTTGCAAATATATATAGTTCATGCTTTATTTAAATTTGTAGTTTGTCGGCTAGTTCATGCTTATTATATGATTATATGGATATTCACTATACTAAAAGCTAATTTAATCATTCCACGAAAGATAAATATAAAAGGCAATGTAAACACGTAACAACTAGAGAGAAAAAAAACACGTAACAACTAGAGAGAAAAAAAACACGTAACAACTAACAATGAAAAAAAAAACAGCATTTCATATTTTAACATTAAATTAAATTATCTTATTCACTCTATTGACTAAAAATGGCATGCATTAACCATGAATAATTAACAGGTTCAATATGGATCATTTTTTCATGTCCCACACTCTCGTAAGAAAGTCTTATATTGGTGAATCCAAATATTTTTTCATGTGTTTTAATTTAAAATGGTTGCCAGTGACATCATTATTGTATTTTTCTCATGTATAACAATATATATAGTCTTTATTCACCACATAGGATGCATGAGACTTTGAAATAGTAACATGAAGTCGAATAATCATTTTCAACAAAGCGATTATAACAAAGAATATCATGTTGAAATCTACACAAAATAAACTTTTGGGGTATTTGATACGTTTTACATTAATTAAAGAGATAATTAGTTAAGGTTAAATTGATATGTAACCTTAACTACCATAACCATGACTAAGACAGGTTAATTTCTTGGGTATTCCACTTTAGAACGAGTAGTTTAAAAATGATCATCACAGTGCTTTTCCATGATTATAATTTGTTTTTAAAAACTAGATCCTGGAATTAAAAAGATACACATGAGACTAGACTAGACATGTCACATTCTTTTTAATTCTAAAACATAAATGAAATTTAATCTATTAGTTTTATAAATCCAGGAAAATAGCAACACCTACACCATGACGGTGGTGATGACAGAAATAGTGTACGTATGACGAAAATTCGCTTATCTAAAAAGAAAATAACGAAAAAGCATAATAAATTGGCTTTCTGTTTATGAATAAAGTTATGTGGACAAATTAGACAAGGAAAAAGAAGTTATCCACCCAAGCCTTTTTTATTTTAATTTAATATTTGGTCATAATCATACTAATAGTGAATATAGATGACAGTAATATATTGCATGGATGTATGTGGCTGTGTAATGTTTGCGTCAGCGTGGACAAGTTGCTCTCGCTTGTTTTTTTTTTTAACTCTAGCCAGTTCACATTCTTCATTCCATATATTCCGACCAAACAAAAATGAATGGATAGTGACTAGTGAGACTCTAATTTACAGTTAATGATTAATGCAAATTTTTCTTGTTTCTTTTTCTCTCAAAAGACAAAAAAACACGCAACAGTTTTTCGAACTCCTAATGATTTTTATTATTACAATATCGTAAAGTTAGTGGACTTTTATTTATCACTTATTCACTTGATGATACTTGCAAAAAAAAAACTCACTTTCTTTTCCTCTTCTTTTCCGACAAACCAAACCGATATTTATATATAAAAACACAAATGGAGTTTTGTACACGTATCATTTTATGGAGCTCACACACGCACCCAAAAAAAAAACCCTTTCTTAGCTAAAAACCACAAAAGAAAAAAGAAAAGGGTTCATAAAAACGCGATTAAACAAAACATTAATTATAATTAATGATACAAAAAAGACTGATTAAAAATTTGGTTAGAGATCCCATGATAAGCCTTGGTTGAAATTAGGGATAACTCCGTAGCTTTCTTCCGACCACTGTCCCCACGGCGGAGGATATAAACAGTAGTCCATTGAGTCAGAGTAAACAAACTCGCTCCCAATGTCCACGTCGTAACTCGCTCCGAGCCTTGGAAGCTCCACGATCTCGTCAAGCTCCTCCGACTCAGTCCTCGAGAGGTCCATCACTGACACGAGAGAATCAAGCGAAGAAGATGACGAAGGAGAAGAAGACTGCGACGAGGAAAACGACGTCGTTGGTTCCATGTGTGCGGCTTTGAGAGCTGCGGTTTGAATGTCTCTAGGGCTTAGCGAGACGGGCCGAGGGAATGACTCAGCGAGTTCAGGGAAGTTTAGTATGGCGGAGGTTCCTTTTATACTAAGAGCCGCCACGTCGTGCGCACGGGCCGCCATCTCCGGCGTCGGGAAGGTTCCGAGCCAGATACGCGACTTCTTCCTCGGCTCACGAATCTCCGACACCCATTTTCCCCAATTCCTCATCCTCACGCCGCGATAAACCGGGTGTTTGCCGGAATCTTTAACCGGTTTAGTCTTCTTCGATTTCTCGTTTTGCTCTGTTTTGCTCTCGTGACTCACTGAGTCAGGCGTCGAGTTGGAGACAAGAATCTGAGTCACTCTCTCCGAGCGGAGGTTGTAGTATTCCTCTGCGAACGTACTCTCTGAAGCTGATGCAACCATTGTTTACACGAACCGTATAATAATTCAACAACAGTCTCTTATTCTGCTTGTTTTGTGATTCGGATCCCGAGATTTATGCAAATAAAGGAAAGATTTTCAGGGGAAATATAAAAGTTTTGAGAACTATTCAAATTGAGGAAAAAAAAAACAGAGCAGTGAAGTGATGCAGAATGAGAGAGAAACTTTGGGTAAAAGAGAAGAACAAGAAGATGAAATGTTGGTAAAATTTTGTCTATCATTTTTCTCAGTCACTCAAAATATTTATATGCATTAATATTTTGGGTACGGGTTAGAAGAGAGGGAGGGAATGGGACCAAAACAATGCAATAAGTCTATTGAATAAAGGAAATGGACCCAATGGCTCTATTTATTTTTGTTTTTCGTATAGACCCACTCTATTTTTTTATAGTTATATTTAATAATATAAAACAATACACTAGGAGTCACTGTTTGCTTTGATAACTCCCGGGTTCTTCAAATCTTATTTTACAATTACATTCGGGAAAAAGAAAATCAGTATATTTTTAGAAAAAGGATTATTATGAGACGACCATATTTAGAATGGCACTATTGAAATATATAGACCAACGACTTTGTCTCAGCCCCGGGTACGTAAATTTTATGAACTTTAATCGTCTCCGAGAACAAGCTTTTTGATTTTTTAATTTTTTTGTGTGTGATAGGAAATTTTCACCTAAGTTTTACTGTTTAAATATCTTTTACCCTGATATTCGACTCAATGGATCATAGTGCTTTTTCACGACAAGAACATTAATATAATATCATATATATAAATTCATTGGCATTTACATACATATATTTGTTTGCATACGCATGCTCCAGTGAAGAAGCTAGTTATCGATGTATCCAAAATTATGATATGCCATGATTAGGATTTTCTTTTGGTTTGAAGTAACATATTATATAATTCAATACTGTCATTCAGCTTTTGATTTTTTTAAAACGTGAAAAGTTTCACGGAAATAATATTTAAAAAGAGTTATTTCTTTTGATAATGTTGCGATGGTATTAAAGTTTCAATCAATTTCTATACACTTTAAACCCATTTATAATGAGTGGTTGAAATATTTACCATGTTAGTACTTCAGTCACGATCCAAACTTTTAAATCAAAACCAGTTTTATCCAGCTAGAATTCTTTGAATATAGAAACATATCGGATATTTTAGCAGTAAGTTAGATGCTCATCATAACTTTCACGTACTAACTTAGTGGTAGTGAGATTTATTTTGTATAATTATATATATTAATTTCAGAAGCACATATTATATAAATTTTTGTTTTTCTTGTATATTATGTTGAATCCGAGATAGCACTCGTCAAGACGGGCTATCTAAGATGTGAGTTTAGGAAACTGGAACGCTTAATTCGACTCTTAGATTATCAAGAAGATTACAAGAGAGCAATCTCGCTAACAAGCCTAGCGAGATTATGGTGATGAACAAGAGGATAGAGTAAAAGCTAATGTGAAAGCCTAGTGATTCTAGATGATTTCGGATCCCTCTCCCCAATGGGGGGTCTTCAATATATAGCGTTGATAAGTCGGCCGAATGATGAATATTCTCCTTCAGGCGAGATGGAAAACTTCCTCTTTTGCGATATGGAAAATTCCCTCTTGTTTTTGGATCTTTCTCCATTCTTTAAGTCGGCATGAAGATTTATTTACATTTCTCCATGGATTGTGCCTTTCTCTTCAAGTCTTGCCTTTTTCTTGAAGATGTTAGGCCTAAAATCGGATTGGGCTTTGTAACTTTACTAATGATGACGGGCTCAGGGAAATGTGCTAATTTCTCCTCTAACATATTATTAAAGATATAGACATATCATAAGCTTTCAAATCAAAACCAATTGTAACGAGTGGATTGGTTTGTCTTTTATACACTACTTCACACACAAAACCAATTTTATAGCCGTGAGTTAGATAAAAAAGGTTTTAACTAATGCATATTACAGGTTAAAGTTGGTTCCAAACGCACAAACAGACAAATAAGTGCATTTTAGTGCAATAATACAATTGAAGAAAATAAGTATGTAAAGGGAAACTTCAAGAAATATGAAGGGACATCAGTTTGTTCAATCATGGGACCGTATATGCGTACCTATAAGGACGGGTTTCTGTCAAAGACACACACAATATGACAATATATATGTATACGTAGTATAAGTTAAAGTCTTCTAATAATCATATCGCTTTTTATATTCACAAATCAATAGCAATAACTAAGTATTTGCAATGAATGACGTTGTTTATTTCTTCGCCTCTCGTTTCTCCATAAGAATAAACATTAAATTGGTCATATACATTAATACATATTAATCTTAATTAACGTTAATATATACTTGCAGGTTTACTCACAAGACCAAACAATTAACAAAGTATGTAGGAATTACGAGCTTATAACTCAAAAAGAATTGACAATTAACAGAATGATTTACGTTTTTTTATATTTTATGGTAAAACACGTTTTATACGTGAGCCTTTTTTTGTTAAAGTTTATACGTGAGACTTTAACATATCTATTCGAGAAGATGAGGAAAACTGTCCATTTTGAAAATGTTACTACAAGGCGAGAACAACCTATGTATGAATCAATCTGACTATAAAACCAATTTGTTAGAAAATATTTAATCGGTTCACGTATTTGTAGTAAATGTTAACAAAATGATACTTGGCCAAAGTTGTGAATATTAGGCTTTTTGCGGAAAAAAAGAGAGGCAGGCTATCTCTGCTTCCTTATTCCATCTCCAGGATCATTCAAATTTCAAGCTTCTTCCCAACAAATGAAGAGGGCCCACATAGAAGTAGAGGGGAAACTTTTGACGAGTATTTTTTTTTTTTTTTTTTTTTTGTCAATTGTATTTATTTAGGCAGACAAAACCAAATATCAATATCTTCCAAATATGGTTTTATTAGGCATGCAGAGACTATAAAGTCGAATTTTTATAAAAAGGGTCCAAAATAAGCCTTTTGGAAAACGACCTTTTCTTCTTCTTCTTCTTTTGATACAGGAAAGAGACATTTTCTTGCTTTGTGTTCTCCTCATGGGATCAAAGATCGTTAACGAAAAAAAGAAAAGACACAATCTTATAGGGTCAAAGTTCAATAACGACTGAAATGCAAACGTCTCAGGTATTTAAGATAGATTTTGTGAGCTCACCATTTTTTTATTTTTTATTTTGGCGGGCTCAACAAATTAACATTTTTCTGATGTATGTTTTGTTAGATTTGTAATTAAATTTTATCTTATTTTATAAAAAATTGCAAATAAAACAATTTTAAATATTTTTAACAGAAATAAAAACTTAATTAGAAATTTAAAGTGTTTACCATTGATTCGTATATACACCCGTTTCCAACACTAAACTTATCGTACCGTCTGACCATTTCAGCTGCAAAACCACAATGATTAGACTAAAGATGGGTTTACGGAGGTGTTCACATTGTGTTGTTTCAGAATAAAGCACATTTAATTATACGTACTGAAGTTAGAGAATAATATATGGTCTCCAGATTCTTCTCCGAATAAGCATATACAATTAAATTCCAGTTGATATCTTATGGTGGATTGTTTTTATTCCTCACTCAAAGTATATTTGTTCAGATATATCGCTATCTTATGTTCACCAGAGGGACAACAAATTGACAGGTAGAGTAAAAGACAACCTCGCGCGAGGTGTAGGACATTTACTCTTACCATGTTTTTGCTTTACAGTTGCCATGTGGTCAACGAAACACGCAAATTGTTGTCGTTTAGACCCATTAAAAACTTATATGGGTCTGATTTTCGAAGAAATGTATAAAATGTAGAATTTGCAAAGTATTTTCAAAACAATTCTGATTAGTGTTGCCATCACCGTATTGTTATCCATATTTGAACATGGTAATGTGGAAAAATCTATATAAAGTATTAATTTTTATGTTTTTTACAAGTACTTTCGAGTCTTTCGACTAGAAAGAAGGAGAATTCAAATTTACTTTTGTGAATTTGTGGTTTTAGAAAAAATGGATGATTTGGTATTATTCCAAAATTTGTTGACAAAATCTAAAAGCGCCTGATATAATTATGTAATGGAGATGATCTGGAACAAGAACTATAGTCAAAACACATAATTTGATACTCTAAAATTCGTTGACAAATTTATAAAAACCGACACGATTGTGTGATGAAGTTGATTTAAAACTAGAATTCTAGCCAAGACACAACTGAATGTGAAGCACACATCTTAGCAAACGCGTTAAAAAGGATGGTAAATATCATCAGAAGTACAATTGCGAAGTCGACGTAGGCTCTATGAAGACAAAAGAAACTATCTTCTTTTCTTGTCAGAATTAATATCAACAACAATTGTTGCTATAAATTATAATTAAAAACAGTAAATATACAAAATAAATAATGAAATAGTTGAATGTCGTATCGTAATTAATTACTTTGATAGTATGTTACTTAATTTTACTGGTTAACTGTTCTTTTTTTACAGCTACTGGTTAATTGTACTTCACTTATATTTTCGTATATATATATATGTATCTAAAGATAATACTAGTATGTAAAAGTCGTATTGGGATTGACAACGTATGTGCAATCGTTTGATTGGTAGCACTATTCAATTTTAAGATTGTTGATAGATCAATGTGACCAGACTTAAAAGGACCGCGCGTGACCACTCTAGGGAATTTATTTAGCTTCCGATCCGTTAAAAATAATTAAATAAGATTAGACCTTTCGATGAATTAGGATCATTCTTCACTAATCCATCACACACCTATATGAATTTTAGAAAGTAGAAATGATGAAAAGTTGGAAACCATAAGATTGTGTAAGAGACAGACAAAGCATACAAAGAAAACATAATTCTGACTCAAAAGTACAACAGACATCAACAGTCAACATCCCCATTTAATGACATCTTTTAGTTTTTATTTTACGCCCAATTTTTTCGGCAAAAACAAACATATAATTAATATAAGAAGATATTCGGGGAAATTTGAAGATATTGGGTGTCTGACTATCAGAGCTTCAGTCCTGCTGCTTGTTTGTCACATGCGATTGCCTGGCTCATGATATCACCACACAGTGTCTTTGATCAGTAACTTCCAAAAGAGTATTTTGTAGGCAAAAAGTTCTGAATATAATTGGTAGATACTATTATAATTGTCCTTTTAGCTCGTTGAAGAGAAAATAATTAAAGTTGTGTTTAAAGAAAATGTTTGGAATACTGCAAGTGCATGTTTTAACTTTTATGAGACTTCTTGTAGACGTGTCCAGGATTTGTATTTCTAGGGTTTGTACAGTGGATTTGAACTTTGAAGTTTGAACTGTTTGCTACTTAGTGAATTGGAGACCATTGGTTATTTTAAATTAGTATTCTGGCTCGATCTTTTCCGTGGAACAAATAGGATGGTGTTCAAACCCAAATACACTTAATTTAACAGGTTCTTCATGGATTACGGTTTTTTTTAAACTCTTCACACTGAAGATATTCAACATAAACAAACAAAAAACCTGTCCCGTTTATTTTTCTTGCTTTGTCTGTTGTTATGTGTGTTCTCTTTGTGTTTTCTTCACAAGTTCACATAAATACTACAAACTTTGTTCCAATGACCTAGAGTTTCCCAACAGATCCATAACTGAATACTTTTAAACCGATATCTTCGAAATAAGCATGACGAGGTATAGTATCTGATGAGTGTATTATAACTTGTAGACAATTGCTTAACGTACATTCTCTTAGTGAAAGAGTTTTGTTAGTGTTAACTTTGGAATCTACTAAATTGCTTTCTACAAAAACAACTTTATACCATCAGTTTTTTGTGTCATGAGCATACTCAACGGTCTATGAACAACATTCTGAGGATTTTTACAGCAATGATCTTTCATCACTTATTCGATGAAAACTAGGCAATAATTAAAGGTTCTTAATCTCATCCACTATTGGATATTTTCCCTAGATAACGAAATGAGTTTTATTTTACAAATAAAACTTGTATGGTTTACACTCTCCTTCTCTTGTGGCTTAGGACAAAATCATCATCTTCCTCGTCATCATCAACAACTTTCTTCTTCTTTCTCGCATCTAAACCGTTGTTCTTGGACGCAGATGGTCTTTGAGAACTCTCCGGTTTACTAGAATATGATGGCGTCGGTTTAATCGGTGTTCCCATTCGAATTTGCTTCATCTTTCTTAGCTTTTTCTCATGTGCTCGCTTCGCCTTATCCGGAGACAACATTCCATGTTCCATTAGCCTGTTTCCCAACACATACCATAAACCCTTAATGTTCACAAGAAACCATTCAAGTTTTATGCTAAAATGAGCCAAGAACAAATGCTTCAAGTTCTTTTGATGTTTTTTCTTACCAGAACTCAGCCATTTCGCTCCCTGGTATTTGTTTCGATAATGATTCGTAGAATATCCTCAAGGGCTCTCTCTGTAAATGCAAAAAGACAGAGAAACCAAGAATCAAGAACAGATTCAATAGAGAAATCTTAATTAAGAGATGAATATGTATATATACCTCTTCAGGAGGATCAAATTTCTGTCCTGCTAATGAATAAACTTTCTTCTCTCTTTTCGCTTTACCTTTCGCTGCTGCGGCAGATGTTGTTGCCGTTGATTTCCCCGTATTTACAGGTATTTTGGGCTTTGCCTTTCACAAGAGTTTTTCAGAAAATATTATGTTACAAGTTTCTTTGTAGTATGATCGACCTAAAAACCAAAATCTCCGTCATGATGCATAATTTACGAAATCTATCTCAACCCGATTTCAATTTCATTGTCAATTGAAAAATTCGATCTACTAACGGATCCGAGTTAACGATAATTTTTAGCCAAATTTTTTATCTGACCAACATTATTAATTTCAGATAATCCAATTTCAGAAAACTTACCATAAGAATAGAGGAATTCAATAAATTCCCTTTTTGTTTTTCGCTCTGTTCTATGAAAATTTTCCAGAAACGAGCGATCAGAACTTAATTACAGAGTTTTTCCGATTGATACCTCAGATTTGGGAGTGACGGTGGAAAGAGCGGATCTGGGTTTGGTATCCGACATGATCGGTCTGCTAGAGATTGGAATCTTTTTCTTGTCCTTAAAAGACGGATCGATCTTGACTCTAGAAGCAAGAGAAGAAGACCCATCGCGTGACTCGCTCTTAACCGAACTAGGTCTCGTCTGTGTCGCCATGGAAATCTCAGATTTTCCTGAAATTTAGCGCAACTACTTTTGATCTGCTCGAAGAACCCGACAATGATTCCTAGAAAAGATTAAGTCTACCCGACAATGATGAAATCTACCGATTAAGTCTTACCGCTTTCATGGTTATGTAATGAAATGGTAAAAACAGAAAAAAGTTAAACACGAAACTGTTACCCCGTTTTAACGGACATTTAAATTTTACGCGAGGAATTAAATAGTTAGTTTATCACGCGCCAATCGGATACTTTATTTTCTGTGTGCTCCTAATAAGTTTTTGTTTGATTGGAGATTTTTTTCTTTATTGTCAATTTGATTGATTGGAGATTTTATTGAAATTATTATTAGAAAAAGTATCAAACATTTGTATCCCCCCTTAAACATTCTAATCTGAATCTTGTAAATATTAATAAAGAAACAATTTTGTAAAAATTAGATTTGGAATTTAGACTATTTAGTAAGTTGATAAAATATCTAAACTATTGTCATAATTTTGATAGATGATTAGACTATTTTCGTATTTCCCCTTTTTAACCTTTAAAATATTACATTAACTTGGTAACATATCTATGTTTATGAGGAACCAAATACACACTCACATTACTCTTCTTTACAATTACTCTTAATGAAATATATGCATATTTGTTATTTTATTTCGTTCATAAGGTCTTACGGAATTTAATTTCACTAATGAAAGTAATTCCAACCCATAATCCTTGCCAAACCGGAGAAAACCTAGTTTGGGTAAAACGTTTGAAAAACCCGGCTATACCAAACCGAATGAAGAATCATATGGAATAAATCATACCGAACCGGTTCACCATCATGCCACATGAAATGTTGTTGAACTTTCAACACCCTCCTCTGCATCTCAACGTATCTCCTCAACGGAATCGATATCAGAATCTTCCTCAGATTCGGAATCTCCTTCTCTGGCACAAACACAGCAAAAGATTCCCAATCCAAAACCTCAAAAAACGGCGGCACGAAGTTATCGGAGATGATCACCGGCACGCAACCATACAAAATCGACTCCACCACTCTTGGACTATTCACCTCGTACCCTTTAGCGCAAACGCAGAATCTGCTGCGTTTCATATAACCGATGTACGATTTGTGATCGATCCGGCCAAATATCTTCATATCCGGTTCAGGTGTCGACGACCATCGGTTAAGCAAGATGGGCCTGACGTAACCATGCAAGCTCCCGGCGAAGAAAGCGAGGATGGTTCGCTTGGAAGGACGGTTACCTCCAATGTTTCCGTTTGGTTTTTGTGCCGAAGATATTTTTGTAGTCGGCAAAGAGACGTCTTTTCCGACCACGAAGTCTTTTCCGACATCGGCGTTACAGAGTGATCTGATACAGTTCATGTATGGTCCTCTTCTAGTTTCAGCTGGAGCCTACATCAATAAACCAAACCATTACTTGTAAAGCAAATGCAAACAAACAGTTGAAATCTTGAATGACATACCCAATCGTGGCAAGCGGTAAAGAAATGATCGGAGCCACGGGTTCTGTTCCAGAAAGTGTAGTTGGAAACGATGAGATCGATGTAGTCTCTGAGATATTTAACAAGATTTGTACGACTGTGAGATTCACGAACGTAGAGTTTCTGTTGAAGAATTCTGGAGCTGAAAGCCAAGTAGAAGAGATGAGCTTTGGTTGGATCTTTTGTCAAGAATCTAGAGCTACTCTCCATTTGTTTCATAAACCATCCTTCTGACGCGTAAACCCCTTCCATTATTGCCTCAGGCTGATGAAAGATCGGTCTGTCCCCTTCTGCGTAAACGTACACTTTGAGAGTCTGTTCCAGTAGCTCGTAGCTCCTGCTAGAGATCAATCATTAAGGATTCGATCGATTTGTCTAAAATGTAAATACTTGTTCTTGTGTTTGCGTTTTCCATAACCATGATTACAAAAATACTGTATATATAATTAACACAAGAATCTAACATGACAATGTAAAATCAATCGCAAGTGACACAAGAATTTTAGTTTGATAATATTGAACCTTTTGAAGGTGGATAGGTTATGGTAGAGAGGGGCGTAAAGGGTATCATCCGTCTTGACCAAATCTGCGTTCTTGATGTTGTTTCTTGCAGTTTTAAGCTCTTCGTCCACTTTTGATCCCCACTGAGGTGCCTAATGGACATGGAAAAAAAAAAGTGAAATAAGGATCAGAGAGTGATGAGTAATAAGAAATTGGAACTAGTTATGGTAAAATAATCATTTAATCTGCATACAAGTGAATTATTTGGATCATTGTGACGCTTCATTATCATATTGTTCATTTGGGTTATTGATATGACCACTAAAGGTCGCTTTTTTTTGCTCATGTGCTCATGTTTCTTGTTGCTTTGAGGAATCTTGGGTGGAAGTGAATGCAGAGAACTTGCGGTTTCATTGCCTCTATCTTGTCCGGAAGCTTTAGGAGAATCATTCAGAAACTTGTGTTCTAAAATCTTGAAAACCTCCGTGCTATTCAACGGTTTAATCCCGGTGGATGCTTCTTGAGATGCAAGAAATGTTTCATTTTCAGCACTTTTGGTGATGTTATTGGAATCTCTGACCTTAGAAACGGTGCCGTTTCCAGGTGAAACAATAAAAATTGGAGTGAGCTCGAAATATTGAAGGCCTAGAACGATGGCCACAACGATAACCATAAGAAGAACAACTCTGCAGGTTCCTGCTTGGCCCATAAGCCGCAAACCACGAGTCTGATGATCCATCACAACCAGATTAGCTTAGATGGCTACTGAACTAAACGAATCTCTTCTTCCTGAAAAATTAAGTAAAAAAATTGTAGAAAACAAGATTTGTTTCTGTTCAAATCCAGAATCCAATTGTTGTAAGAAAAAAAAAAAAGACATGCACCAACCATAAATGAATTTTAGGCTAAATGGTTGTGTACTGGTTCCAGAAACAGAGCTTGATCACTTACAAGGAGAAGAAGATAAGCGGTTGTAAACGTTTGTCAGATCTGAGCGTTTCTTTGAAGTTTCTTATCATCAAAGGAATCAGACAAATAATTAACATGCAAAGAGACAAGAGAAAGCAATTGTTGGCTTTTAATTCTGTTCAATCAAAAGTCTTGACTAATCAAGTATTTTGGATTGATAAGCCAACAAGTATGATAGTAACTTCTCTCTGTTTTTCAGAATATGCCCCCTTAATTATCTATATTTTATCAATTATGACCCATAGTTTTGCTTAGTTTTCAGAAGCTGTTTTATTATTTTCTACTATTATCTTTCAAAAATTAAAACATATCGATGATAAATTACCCAGTCTGTTTTTCCAACTTAAACAAAGGATAATATACAAGTACTATATTTCATGAACTTCAAAAGTTTTTGTTTCTTGTTGTTGAAGTAAGAGACAGCTTTTTTAGGGATCTTATTGATGTGGATTGAGATGTTGTGCAGTGGGTACTCGTTGATGCGTGATCCGAGATACAACAAGGGACTTGCATTCACTGATAAAGAGAGAGATGCACATTACTTAACTGGTCTTCTTCCTCCTGTTGTTATCAGTCAAGATGTTCAGGTGACTTGACCTTTAAGCATTAAAGAGAACCCTACTTTTCGTTTAGTTTTGATGATTTGGGGTTTGTAATAAATTTGTGATTTTTTCTTAGTTGATTAGGAGAGGAAGCTGATGCACAATCTCCGCCAGTACAATGTTCCTCGTTACGTGGCCCTCATGGATCTTCAGGTGAGTGACTCTTTGTTCGACTTCCATGTTTAGTAGTGGAAACTGTGTCCAAGCTCATGTCTTCTGAAACTTGCAGGAAAGGAACGAAAGGTTGTTTTATAAGCTATTGTGGTCTTGCGTAATTACAGGGTACTGCATCTGTGGTGCTTGCTGGGCTTATTGCCGCTCAGAAAGTGCTTGGTAAAAGCCTTGCTGACCATACCTTCATAAAGAAACCATTATAATCTATATATAAGCTTATCATTTGTCTTGCATACAAGTCTTGCTGCTTACGCTTTATCTCGCTGCTTCTTTCAAGGCTGGAACCGGTATCGCTGAGCTAATTGCTCTTAAGATTTCCAAAGAGGTTAGTAATTTTTAGAAATTTCTTACATTTACTCTGTTTCCTGGCTAGGAATAAGTGATTGATCATATTCCGGTTGTTTTGTAGACTGGAGCTCCCATCGATGAGACCCGGAAGAAGAATTGGCTCGTGGACTCCAAGGTATTGTTGGCAACCACCTAGATCAGTATCATTTTCTTAAGCTAAACCTTTCTTGTTCATTTATAATTTTCTTGAACTTTCTTTTGCAGGGACTGATTGTTAGCTCACGCAAAGAACTGATTACAAGAGTTTGTGCTTCAAAAAACAGGGTCGTGCAATCTTTGGTAGTGGAAGCCCGTTTGATCCTGTTGAGTACGATGGCAAAACTTACTTGCCTGGCCAGGTTTCAAAACTTATTCTTTTCTCTGTCAATTTATGATTTCTGTGACAATCTGAATGCTCATATCAGATTTCCATAACCTTACTTTCACTTCAGGCAAACAACTGTTACATTTTCCCTGGTCTTGGTCTTGGTTTGATCATGTCCGGTGCCATTCGTGGTTGTGATGACATGCTCCTCGCAGCCTGTAAGTTGAAATCACTCTCTTGCAATAAGACATAAACGTTGAGAGCTTATCAGTGTAGCTCTCTCTCTAACTGGTCTCTCTCTCTCTGTTTTGAACAGCTGAGGCATTGGCCGCTCAAGTTTCAGAAGAGAATTTCCCAAAAGGTCTGATCTACCCTCCATTCGCAAACATCAGACAGATCTCCGCCAACATTGCAGCCAGTGTCGCCGCCACAACCTATGACCTCGGTTAGTTGATGGAACTCTCTTTTCACTCAAATCCCACAAGATCTTGACTAAGAAGAAAATATGCCTATGATGTGTTTTGTTTTTACATAGGATTGGCGTCGAACCTGCCACGTGCAAAGGATCTGGTGAAGTTTGCAGAGACCTGCATGTACAGCCCTGTCTACAGAAACTACTACCGTTAAATTTGTTTTGTTGAAGAAAACTCTGCGATTTCTTATATTCACAACCCTTTAATTTAATAGTTGTTGAGGCTTGTATAAGTGTTTTTGTTGTCTGTCTAAGATTTGAAATGAGAATAGTCTCTCTCTCCAAGTGAGATATCAAATTTGGTATAATTTTTGTAATCAAACAATTTACCGTAACCGGAAATAAGAAAAAGAGATGCCCTGAGTAGTCTCAGCTTTGTAACCTTAAAATAGGCCATTTTATTAGAATCTGTTAAAATTGGTTTAAAACAACTGATTATGCTCATCCAAAAAAAAAAAAAAATGAAACTCAACACACTAAACATGAGTTATTCTCTCATAGCTGACACACATGAGAAACCATTATCACACCTGTCAGGGCCCAACGAATCCTGAAACTCAAAGTAAGCGTGGCCATTCTGGACTCCGTGGCCAGTGAGGAGAACAAAGTGATGATGAGATGCACATAAATTAGTTAAAAGAACATTAAGCACATAAATTGAAAAGCAACTGTAAAAGCGATAAAAATCCCCCATCACACCAATGTACACTGTTTGTACACAAGAATGTTAGATTGGTAATATTGAACCTTTTGAAGATGGATAGGTTATGGTAGAGAGGGCGTAAAGGGTATCATCCTTCTTGACCAAATTTGCGTTCTTGATGTTGTTTCTTACAACAATTGGATTCTGGAATTGAACAAAAACAAATCTTGTTTTCTACATATTTTTTCCCCCTAGGAAGAAGAGATTCGTTTAGTTCAGTAGACATCTAAGCTAATCTGGTTCTTATGGATCATCAAAATCGTGTTTTGCGGGTTATGGGCCAAGCAGGAACATGAGTTTTAGGCTAAAAGCTTATGTACTGGTTCTAGAAATAGAGCATGCATGGTCATTTACAGGGAGAAGAAGATAAGTGGTTGTAAATGTTTGTCAGATCTGAGCGTTTCTTTGAAGTTTCAAAGTGTGATCATCATCAAAGGAATCAATCAGACAAATAATTAACATGCAAAGAGACAAGAGAAAGCAACTGTTGGCTTTTAATTATGTTCAATCAAAAGCCTTGACTAATCAAGTATTTTGGATTTGATAAGCCAACAAGTATGATGGTAACTTCTCTCTGTTTTTCAGAATACGCCCCCTAATTATCTCTATTTTTATCAATTATGACCCATAGTTTTGCTTATTTTTCCGAACCTGTTTTGTTTTTTTTCCTACTAGTGTATTATTTTTTCAAAAACGAAACCATATCGATGCTAAATTAGTAAATTACAGTCTGTTTTTCCTACTTAAACAAAAGTTTTAAGGAAAATATATTTTACAGTTGACCTGATTAATTGGTAGTGCTAAAACGTTAAAAACACCAAAGAGCTTGGCCTTCTCCTAAGAGAGAGAGAGCTTTCTACTCTGTAGTCGTCTCCGTCTCCGTCTCCCTATTCTTCCGTGGTGGTGGGATGGTAAAGTCGCTCATGATCGTCGAGGAATAATTTACTGGCGGACAAACGATAGTAACAACCATATTCAGTCCTCTCAAATAACGTCCACTTAGTTGCAGCACCTTCTCCGTTGCGTCTTCTCCCGCCATGAAAAGGAGAGCTATTCTGTAAATACCAAAGCATTTGATAACTAGAGAATTGGGAAGAAAAAAATCATGACTGGGTTTGTCAGCAAATTTGAGAGGAAGAAAGCCACAAACCTGTCAAGAGGATCAGCACTTGTGTCTTGACCAAGACTAACAGTCACGACATGTCCACATGAAGAGAAATGTTCAATCAGCATGCTCTTGGCATAATCCGTAGAAAGCCGAGTGTCATATCCTGTTACTCCAATCCTAATAATTTGATAGTAGGAGATAATATTATTAACATGACAAAGAGCATATCTTGCAAAAAAAAAAAAACTAAACAAAAAGGCACATTACACGCGTTGTCGCCAGCTCCCTAGCTGGCACTCTGCCGCTCTTATAGGAGCCAGCTCACGATCAAGGTATGTTTCATGAAACGGGTAAGCTTTAGCCATTACAATCCGTCCTCCCATGTCGCTTCCACTAAGTCCCAACGCCTTCTCTTCTGCATCTTCTCCTCTAACATAAACGAAGCCAAATCTGCACGTAGCACAAATACTAGTTTACCGCATTTAACTTGGAGCTCAAGTAAAAAAAGCTGGAGGAAGAAGCCACAAACCTGTTGGAGAGACCGGTTCCAACGTCTGTGGGAATATACACGTGTACCACCTCTCCACATGAAGCGAAATGTTTTCTCAAAGCATAATGGACATCATCGGCAGCAAGCGAAGTGTCGTATCCTTCAACGCAAATCCTCCTAATGCTACTGCTGCTATAGACTTCCGTCGGAGCCAACACAAGATTAAGGTCTGGTTCACGAAACGGGTAGGACATTGCGACTACATTCCGTCCTCCCATGTCACTTCCACTAAGTCTCAACACCTTCTCTTCTGCACCTTCTCCCCGAACGTACATGAAGCCAAATCTGTAGAACAAATGCAAGAGTTTGTAGTAAGCATTTAACTTGAGCTGTGAGAAAAACCCGACGAAGAAGGCACAAACCTGTTGAGAAGACCGCTTCCAACGTCTGTGGGAATATAAATATGAAAAATCCCTCCACAGGAAGCGAAATGTCTTCTCAAAGCAAGTTTGACATCAACGGCAGGAAGCGAAGTGTCGTATCCTTCAACGCAAATCCTCCTGGTGCTCCTGCAATAGGTTTGATTACATGTATATGACAAAATACATGATGATAATAATATTAACATGACAAAAGCATATGTTACAAATAAAACACATTACATGTATTGTCGCCGGCTCTCTCGCGCTTTCGTAGGAGCCAAATCAAGATCAAAGTGTGTTTCATGTAACGGGTAAGCCTTAGTGACTACAATCCGTCCTCTCATGTCACTTCCACTAAGTCCCAACGCCTTCTCTACTGCATCTTCTCCACTAACATAAATGAAGGCAAATCTGTAGAACAAATACAAGTTTATATATAACTTGAGCTGGGGTAAAAAACAACTAAAGGAAGAAGGCACAAATTAACCTGTTGAGAAGACCGCTTCCAATGTGTGTGGGAATATCAATATGTAAAATCTCTCCACATGAAGCGAAGTGTTCTCTCAAAGCAATAGCGACATCACAGGTCCGAAGCGAAGTGTCGTATCCCTCAACGTAAATCCTCCTAATGCTACTGCTGCAAAAGATTTGATTGCCGGTGATCATATAATCAACAAAACATCTTACAGATGAAAATCTGAACAAGAAAAAAAAATCAACTTACCTATTTTTTCGAATGTCTGCATCACTACCGTTCAAGTCAAGCAATCCCATACCCTAAGGTTCAAAAGCTCTAATCAGAAAACTCGACTACTTCAAATAATTTTCGGACGAACAACATATATGAAAGCCATAAGGAGATGATGAAGAAGAAGAAAAGAACATTGATTGAGAAGAGAGGTTAAAGAAAAACCCTCTTTCAGAAATTAAAAAATACAGAAAGATCGAAGAAAATTACTTCGATGGCGGATTCGTCCATGGAGAAATTGAGAAGATGCGACTGCTAGGTTTTCGTGAGGCAATATGGATTTCTTTATTACTATTGATTTTTTTTGGCCCAATACGGCTTTAAATTAATCGTCAATAACCATATTTTTAACTTTTTTCCGACTCTTGATTTCTCTATTGCCTTTTTCATAGTTACTCCAAAAATTGGAAAGAGTATTTACGTTGAAAAGAGTATAATATTTTTTAATATTTACGTTGGAAAGAGTATGTTTCAGCCATATAATATTTTTTAAAAAGACCCCGAAAGTTGAAAGTTTTAATGTTGTTGGCTCGTTAACCATTTACATATATGGGAGAAGGTATATTGCAAGGAAATAAACCTTAAAATCTTAAAATCCATGAACATATATATGGCTGATCCTGATCCAGATTGGAATTATGTAAGAAATTATAGTCTTATAATAAATATATATAAGATCAACAATATTTGTTGTTGTTAAATGTACATTATCTAATTTAAAATGATACTAATTATTAACAATAGTCAATCACATAACAATCAATCCTTGAACTTCCTCAACATGGCCGTTGGCTCGTGCCAACCCCATCCTCCACCTCCTCCTCATCAATATAAGGAGCAAGATTCAAGTAACAATTACCGTAGCAGTTCTCGTGAGTACCACCAACATTAGGACTCGTACTAGCATTATTGCGTCGCCACCGTGCACGGCAGACCACACATATCGCCGGCCGCCGTCCACGACTCGTCCTCCACGCCAGCATGCATTCTTCATGCACTTTGTTCTTGCAAACTCTACATTTCACCACCGCTCTTTCCTCCTCCTCGCCTCCGCCATATTCACCGTTTACGCTTTTAATGGCGTTTATATCGTCTAGACATATTGGACATGTGGCTGGTTCTTCTGCAATCTCATTTTCCTGTTCAGTATGACGAATAATTATGGATTAGGATATATTTCTTTTAAAAACAAAAATTAATTCAAACATGGATAATTTGAACTAATCTACAACACACCATACAATTATGTTTTTTTTTTTCTTTTCTTTTCATCCAGTTTTCTTTCTAATCCAAAGTGTTCTATAGGAATGAATACTGGCTACTGCATAACCCATTTCAATTTTTTTTTTCCCCTTTGATGAGCTTTGCGAAAACATCATTAAAAAGCACTATTATTATTACATTTATAAAAAAAGCACTATGGTTAATTTCTGGTGTAACAAAACATTAAAGCATAAGAAAGAAAAAAAGAAGAGACTACCATTTTACCCGTGGAGGAGGAGTTGGTGTCGCCGGAATGAGACGCAGCGGTGGCGAAAAGCTGAAGAAACCGTTGCTGGAGGCGGAAACTAGCGAGGCAGTCAGGTCGTGTGGGGGCTGAAACGAGGCGGTAGAGGAGGCATGGCCGGAGTCTCCGTTGCCGGAGACACTTGTCGTCGAGAGGGATACCAAGAGCTCGGATTAAGACAAACAAGATGTGTTTGCACGGCTTCTTACGATCGGGACAAGTGCAAGTCGGTGTGACCGTTAGCGTCACGGTGTAGACGTTACACGTGGCGCCGAGGACGTGAAAAGTGGCCCCACTTGGACGGTGGAGGAGGCGGATCCGATGACGGAGAGCTCTAATGATCCGGTCTGTCACCGGCTGAGCCAAGAGATGCCGTTGGTCTCGGTTACTGACGTACGGCGATATCTGATTGGATCCGACAGATTCCATAATTTTAAGAATACCGTTACGGAAGTTGGGGATTATGCGATATTCATGCTTGAGTATATAGGGTACAGTTACTTATACACGTCATGTATTTTGCGGAGATTCTTTGTACGAAACAATGGCACACGTGTGGAATAACGGCGACGTGAGGACATAACTAACAAAGACGGCGTTAGACGGAAGGCAAAGTTTATCTATCTATCAATAATACTAAATTAGACGCTGTGTTGTTTTCTAGAAGTAGTTTCGCACAGTATGCCATTCTTATCATCAGTTTTTGTGTGTGCTAACGGCGTCGTTTTGGTTAAACCTCGTAAAAACCCCTCTTCTTGCTCGCAGCTAACCTAGAAATCGGGAATCAAAATCAAATCCCTGCTTCACTTTCGTTATCGGCAAAATGGCTTATCGATGTCGATCTTTGTCCAAACCAGCGTTTTCTGCGTTTAAATCTGCAATGAACAAGCCTTCTCTTCGACCTAAATCGGCTTCATCATTTCTCGGCGTCCCTCCTTCGCCTGGATTTGCAAGGTTAACCTCCTTCTCTCATTTGTTCTCCTTCACATCTTCTCTATCTTGATTGATTGAATTTATTCCGAAAGTTTGAGTAATGGTTTCGCATTCGGGATTTGTTTATGTTTTGGATTGGACAGGCCGATTGCTCAGCTGGGCTCGCTTCAGTCGTTGCTTCCGTTGTACAGTGCGGTGGCTTCTGCACGGTTGACTTCGTGCCTCGGTATCGATTCGATGAATTCAAGGTCGTTGTCTCAGGGTATGCTCTGCAGTGCGAATCCAGGAGTTTGATATTCTCCAAAAATGTTATGTGTTTAGTATATCTGTAAGCAACTTTTATTTTAATACTCTTTGATCTTGCATATCTTCGAACTTACATGTTCTTCGTATCAAACTAGAGCTTTAATTCTCCTATTCCTTATACTCTTTGATCTTGCAGAATCTGTAGCACGTTTTATGATTGCTTTAGTTGACACTGAATTCAGAGAATTGTCACAGCTAGCTGAATTTTAGCTGTATTAATCTTGTCATGCTCCACATTGGTTTGATCTTGCTTCTTTTGCGGTTTTCCAAGTTCCCTTTTGCGTACCAGTCCTTTTCTAGAACTATTAGTGCTTGCAGAGACATGAAATTTTTTGGTTACATGAACACAAATAGGTTCTGGATTTTGAATGAGTTGTTTTGGCCGGAAGATGAAAGATGCCATATTGGTTCTGTTCTTTCTTCGTGTTTCTCTTCTTTGGACTATCTTGTAGTATTGATTGAAAGCAACTACAACAAGAGTGTTTTGATGGTCAATGTGCTGATGTATTTTGGTGTCTCTTGATTCTTGCAGAGCTTGGCCTAAGCGTGCCTCGATAAAGAGACCAGACTCGAAGAAAATTGGCTCATTTGGGATTAGATTCTTCGCATTTTTTGCTTTGCTGGTCTTAATCAGTCACTCAGATCAGTTTCTATTTTCTGAGTGATAAAACATTCTCTCCTTTCGTTTCTTCCTACTAAGTAAACAAGTTCATTTGGAATTTCTATCTTCAACGTATCAAAGATTGAACAATATGATTGTCTCTTGTCTGTATCATTGATGTTCCTGGATTCATTCTAAGTTGTTATTCGAATAGTTTAATCCTTTCTCAAAATGAAAAAAAAAGCACCTAAATATTATAAATTGACCTTTGCAGTGTGAAAATCGAGCTAAGACATGAACAGATGAAGGCGTTTATGTTCTGTAATAGATAAACGCCAAGCTGTTGCAGTCAAAAAAAAAAAAACAACGCCTTGTCGTTTGTTACTATGTAAAACGACGTGACGTTTGCTGTGTTTTTCAAACAATCCTTCCCTTTGCTTCGGACTCAGCCAATTTACTGCTCTTTGAACACGGAGATTCGTCGGAGCAAAGCAAAAATGGAGAAGAAGCGCGAAGGAGTAATCGAAGGAATGAGTCGGATCGTATCAGATCCTTACTATTTCCTCCATTTCATGGCCTTTTTCTCCTACCTTCCGATTCGCAACTCCGCTGCACAGTACACTTCTCAACGACTCTTCGACAGAGAAGTCCAAGCATTTCTAGCGTTTCTCATGTTTTCCGCCATTAAGGTTTGAGTTTTCTTCATACTTTTCGAAATTACTTCTTCGCTTTCTGCAACCATGGATGATTCGGAATCGCTTTGTAGATGGTGAGGGAGGAAACATGGGAGGCCTTCGTTGCAGATAGCGTACTCTATGCTAAAGTAACTCTCATGAATTTTAGAATTCGGATCGAAATTGGTTTTTCAATCAGCTTTGGGATCCATTTGAAATCCGCTGATACACATTTTTTGTTGCCCCAGATCTTTCTCGTAGCGGTTTCGCTGATTATGGATTATCGAGTGGCGATCTGGTTTAGTGTCATATTTTCAGGTAGAGAAAAGCTTTTGAGCTCTCGTTTGATTATCTGATATATATGTGGGAGATGCAGATTTGATTGAAAACCTTCAATTTTTCGTAAGTTTGATTTGAATGTTTCGTTTTGCAGTCATATATCTCTTGGCTCAACAACCGGCATTTAGTAAATTAGGTATGGGAAGATTCAAGTTCTTGCTTTCTGTGAATTTTTGCAATCAAAAGTTGCATTCTTGTAAAATGCTTAAACAAATTTGCAGGAACTTCGAAGAAGCTGACACCAATGCAGTTGGAAGATTTGCTATCAGACGGGAACACAACAAAATACTGGTTGGTATGTGGCAACTGGCTTTTTCTTTTTACCAAATTCTATTGTTGCTGTTTCCAAGTCAGTGAGGTTGTGATTTTAGATGATAATATTTGATAAACTAAGAAGTTGTTTTGAGTGACTAAAATACTTATCTTGCTTAGAGCAGAACTTACGCTCATATTCCAATAAAGCATGGAATTTGAGATATTGGCTCAATCCTGCCATAGATATTTTATATGATGATGTGCGTTTCACACCTTTTGCAGATAGAATTTTATGCTTGTAGTTCCTCAAAGTGTGTTCGTTCAAGCCGCTGCTTTCCGGAGCTCTCCATCACGTAAGCTTTGTGTTAGGGAAAAAAGCAACCCCATTTCACTGTTCGTCTTACGAGACACACTCACTCATCTTCCATTCCTTCACTTCAGGTACTCGAACAATCTTTTGTCTTTTGGAACCATCGACCTAGGACTTTTCCCTAATACTGCAGCTAAGTTTGGAATATCTCTCGCCGGTATTTAGTCCTTCACGAACTCATTCATTTGCACGAACTCAATAACACATTGAGACTCTGTTCTGCTAGCAAGTGATGTGTTTGTGTAACATATATAGGTGGAATGTCTCAGCTTCCCACATACATATTGTTTGAAAAGGGTGTCGAAGTTTCTCGGTTCCCAGACTTTTATGTTGACGCTGCACCTTCTTTACCCATAACCAAGGTTCGCATGCTTCTTCACATGTATAAAAGATTGCATTGATGATTGCATTACATTGCTTCTCTTCTGAAAATTTTGGTGAAATCCCTTTATAGAGATCCTCTTATTGTTGATGTTGCAGAAACTTCTGTGTCAACATTTTGAGCTTGATCGGCTTTTGCTGGACTACATTAACGGATCATAAGACGAATGAGACAACACACGACTTTCCGGCTTCTCGTGTAAGATCAGTATGAACACATCAACGCAACATCGGTCTATAAGAGGCAAACATTTCCGTCTCTCACAATCGTTTTTTGTTCCTTGTATTCTTTTTGTAATGGGCATTTTTAGCGAGGCTCGCCCGAGAAAACGATAGATTTATATTTTAGTGCTATATAGAGAGGGAGAGAGATTCTGTCAAAATGATATTATGTTCTGTCAATATCTTTTACTTTCAATGCCTTTCGTTTTCATGACTTTAGCAGCTTGTTGGAACTCCTACGGCTCTCTTACTAATGTGTTAGTTTCATTTCATGTGCTTACTACAGTCCATTATACTTCCTATGTCCATGTATGGACTAAGATTATTAACATCAAATAAGGAAAAAAATTGAACTACAAATATTTGAAAAGAAATCAAACTATTAGATGAACACTAAAATTGATTTACATAGTGAAACTGTGAAAGCAACAACTAATAAGTATGAGAAAAAACCATTGTTATCTTTAAGAGACATGCTATTTCCATTCCCATTATCAAACGGATGAGCAAGAAAATGAATCACTTGGTCAAAATGTTGCCTAGTGGCACAATTTAGGCCACTTGTTCCAAATTCCAGTTAAGCCATTAGTTAATGATTGGGTTTATCTTTGGCTCCCCTTGTATTTACGCTTTCTCGTCTCGATCATTTTAATTACATATTAGTGTATATAGTATAACAGGGTACAAATACAAGGCCAGGTCAGATTCATATAATACAGTATTACTATATTAGATTGATCTGGTTGTAAGTAAAAGAATATGTAACATAAAATAAAAATGGTATCATATTAATTCTAGCTCAACGCCATTTTCTCGAAACGCGGTTTTTTTAAGACAAGCAAAGCCAATTATCCTGCTATCTAACTCATCAACAGTTAGTGACCGAACTCGTGCAGAGACACTGAATCCACACCGTCCAATGCTTTGACCTGACCGCTCAAAAAATTATTACTATAAAATCAAGACCATCGAACCCATATCTCGTTAGCTCAAGAACCAATAATATATATCCACGTGGTTGCTCAGGCCATCCTGCGCTGCATCAGATTAGTGAAACTTTGTCGCCTATTGACTCATTGAAGTATTCACCCCTCTATAAATGGATCCCCACCATTTCCCCCAAAATTCTGACATTTTCTCTGTTACACGCTTTCTTCTTCTTCTTCTTCCTCAATTTTTTTTTTTTTGATTCAATTTGATTTCAGTTTTACCGGCGATGGCGTCAACGTCGTCGGAAATGGAGCCATTAACATCGGGCGCGAGCAATCGGATAATCCCGATTCTGAAAACGCTCAGGAAGTGCTTCATATTCATCCTCTCCCTCGTCCTCTCTCTTCTCCTCCTTCTCCGTCCCCGTCGCCGCGTTTTGCCTCTTCCACCGCTGGAGGAGGCTAATCCGGCTCCTTCGAGGCGGTGGAGGCGGAAGATGGCGTGGAAGCTGGAGGAGGAAGACACGGCTAGACGTCGCTCATTGGCGGAAGTCGTTGAGATGGGTTTTGGTCTCGCCGGAGACGGCGAAATCCCTTGTCGCTGTTACAGCTCGTTGTTCTACGGCCGTCGCGGAAACGCTCTGTTCTCTCGGTCGTGGTTGCCTCTTTCCGGCGAACTTAGGTAAGCTTTTCGATTTTTGCATGCACGATTAGAAATCTCCGATCAGAAGTCAAAAACTCACACAAATTTCGAATTTTGACTTGGAAATTTGAATTTTTATGTGTCTTCAGGGGAATTTTGATTATTATCCATGGACTGAATGAACACAGGTGAGATAAATTTCTTGTTCTTCTTCTTCGTCTATGTATAATTTAGACGAATCACTCAATCTGTGAATCTGTTTCATTTCCAGTGGAAGATATTCTCAATTCGCCAAGCAGCTAAACTCGAGTAACTTAGGTGTATACGCTATGGACTGGATTGGTATGAAGATGAGCTTCTTTTGTTCCTTTTTAGTTTCTATTTTTGTTCTGAAACTGTGAGTCTGAACAGGTTCGCCATTACCTTGTAATTAGGTCACGGTGGGAGTGATGGTTTACATGGCTACGTTCCTTCTCTTGATTACGTTGTTTCCGACACTGTAAGCTCACACAAATCATCTTTGTCAAAATTAGTTTCTTTTTTTAGTTGCTTTATAGAAAGATGAAACTAGAGAAATGTTCCCATTTGAAAGTTGTTGATTTGAATTCTACAGGAAGCTTTCTTGGAAAAGATTAGGTCTGAGAATCCGGGCGTCCCGTGTTTCCTCTTTGGTCACTCTACCGGTGGAGCTGTAGTCTTGAAGGTACTTAACTTCATACCTTTCGAAGCTCTCTTCAATAATTTTAATCTGTGACAGTGTCCTGATTTATGGTCTATAGGCTGCTTCATCACCCTCTGTTGAAGATATGTTAACTGGTATCGTCCTAACATCGCCTGCACTACGTGTCAAACCAGCTCATCCTATTGTCGGGGTGAGTCAAGTTAGATGCTTTTTTTTTTCGTTCTCGGTTGGAAAGTTTAGCAAGTGATCGTTAAGTCATATGTTTCATTGTAGGCGATAGCTCCGATCTTCTCGCTGGTGGCTCCAAGGTTCCAGTTCAAAGGAGCGAACAAGAGAGGCATTCCGGTGACAAGAGACCCTGAAGCACTCTTAGCCAAGTACTCTGACCCGTTAGTCTACACGGGTCCAATAAGAGTCCGAACAGGCCATGAGATTCTCCGCATAACAGCTTACTTAACACGGAACTTCAAATCTGTTACGGTGCCTTTCTTTGTTCTTCATGGGACAGAGGACAAAGTCACTGATCCACTAGCTTCGCAAGACTTGTATAACCAAGCACCATCGGTGTTCAAAGACATCAAGCTCTATGAAGGTTTCTTGCACGACCTCCTCTTTGAACCTGAGCGTGAGGAAGTTGGTCGTGATATCATAGATTGGATGATGAAGCGGCTCGATGATGTTAACGGATCAGCCGCTGGCCTCTGGTAAAAGATCAGAACGCAAAGGTCTTCTTCTTCTTCTTCTTCTCTAGTTAGTTGTGAATTGTGATACAAGTGGTGTGATTGTAAAATCAGAAACCAAGGTGTAGGAGAGATACTTATATTAATCTTTGAATTGTTTGATTGTGTTGTTTGATTATTTATTAGCCAATTCTTGGTAGTAAAGTACTGTTTTGGGCGAAGAAGTTTCTTCCGGTTGGTCAAAGTTGTATTCCGTAGACTCCTTTGGGCTAATTATGATGAGCATTTCGGCTCATTGGGCCTATGTGCTTATTTTCTTTAAATGTTATCGATGTGTTTATAAAACTGATCTTTTCTTAATGTATATGAACATTAAGCAAAATATATTAACAAAAATAAACTATTAAAAATCTACTGAATTTAAATAATTAAGCCCAAATTTAATACAAAATAAGAAAATCTATGTGTATTTGAAATTTCTTATCAAAAAATCTGAGTGGAATATTTTATTTTTTATAAAACAAAGTAAAATGGTCCAAAGATAGTAAAATATTTTTACAACATTGCTAACTAATATTTATAGTAAATTTCGTATAGTAAAATCTATATGGTTGATATTGTTTTATTATAAAGCTATAGTTGACCAATAAAAAGATTAATTTTTAAAATTTAAGTGGACCAACCAAAATAGAGACAATGTTTATTTTTTTGTATATATACAAAAGTTAAACACAATATGTTAAAATATCAGAATAAAAAAATAAAATATTGAAAGAAATTCAGATGTTATATTTCAATAAAATCCAAGTGGACACATGTCTAATATTAAAAACTCTTATGTACATATACATAGATAAGATAAAGAATTGAAAATGGAAAGAAACCTAGATTGAAAATCCTTCACAATTATAAACACCTATATATTTGGGTGTAAATGTATATCTAACAAGGAACAAAACAAAAAGACTTAAGCAAAAAAAATTGTGAATGAGTATTGATATTCCAGTCATGAATTTCATTTTCAAAGTAGTCACATTCATATTCGTAATTTCTGCAGTTCAATCTAATGAAACCAAACGTGTAAAAAGTTTCAAGGTATATTAAAACAGAATCTAAATTATATCTTATGTTGTTGTATTAATCTAAAATATACTTTTTGGCAGGTAAATGAAAAGATGATATATGATTGTGTGGATATATATAAACAACATTCGATGAGTCATCCACTACTCCAGAATCATAAAATTCAGGTATATTCATTCATGAAACAAAAATTTTGAATACTTTGCGAATTATTTTTTGAATAATATCTAATATAATTAAAAAAAATTATTTCATATATTGACTATGTATTTGTAAAATTTTACGTAGATGGAACCATCTTTTTCGATCTCCAAAACAGAAAATAAAACTAAGAAAGAAAATCAAAGTAAAAATATCATCAAATGTCCTAAAGGAACAGTTCCTATACTGAGGAACACGAAAGAGTATGTCGAAACTGCTCAATATTGGGCAGTCAAACACTTCAATCCACTAACCGCTCATAAACCTGGATCACATGTAAGTAAAACTACTTGAAACTACTTAAATTACAGATATAACTTCCAACATATGTAACACAAATTTTAAATTTGAAGTATAACGGAGTTAGAATCCAAGAGAACAAAGGTCTTCATGGTCTGGCAGCTGAGATGAGTGTGCATGACTTGAGTGTTGGTAAAGATCAAGTTTCATATACTGCCATATATGTATTCAAAGGAGACATCAACAAAGATAACAATATCCAGACTGGTTGGATGGTAAAAATTAATGTTGATATTATTGAATTTAAGTTTTTATATGATCTGATTTTTTTAAATACTTTAATTTGACAAATAGGTAAATCCGACTTTATATGGTGATGGACGCACATGGAGTTATGGATACTTTATGGTAAAATTTGTTGATAGATACACATTTTTTTTATCATGTTCTATATAGAATCTTCATTACAAAAAATACATAACCTTAATTATTTTTCAACTACCATATTGATATATTATAATTAAATATTGATAGGGTGCCAATGGAGGCTGTTATAATACACAGTGTCCTGGTTTTATTCAAGTGTCAAACACTGATCCTTTAAGTATACCTGTACCTGGTAACAGAGACCGGTCCATTCATGTTAGTCTTCAACAGGTATGTTTTCTGAATAACAAATATTTTTTTTTTGTATATGTTAACTAATCTAACATGTATATATGTCTATATATCAAAGGATAACGAATCAGGAGATTGGTGGGTAACACATGTAAGAAGTGGAGAAAAAGATATACATGTTGGTTATTGGCCAAAAAACCTATTTGATGTTATAAATAACGGTGTCGACACAGTTGGAGTTACGGGAGCCGTTCAGGCTTCTCATGATGGTATAAGTCCACCAATGGGTAATGGTCATCTACCACTTAAAGATTCAAATGCGGCTGGCGTTAAACACCTTGAAACCGTTGATCATGAATTTATAATCAAAGACAGTAACAAGTATCACTTACAAAAAATAGTAGACGACAATATATGTTATCGCTTAAAATGGGGAGAAAAGTTTGGTAGTGGTTTACCTGGAGCAGGTTCAGACAAATATTTGTTCCAGTATGGTGGGCCTGGAGGAAATATTTCCACTTGTGGAGCTGGAGCCTAATACCACAAAGTGATGTTTTCGGTTATTTCTGTTGAATAATTTAGACTTCATATCTCATGTTCAAGTATTTTAAATCTTCTATTTATGTATGAATAAGAACTAATAATCTGCATGTGATCTATCAGTGTGGTGGTGGTGTACTGTTATTTCGTTAGTTATTTAACCAATGCATCATTTCAATATTTTTTTTTTGTTAATTACTTAATCGTCGAAGACGTCACGTTGTACGCATGTGTGTGTGCTTGTTTACTTGATTAGAACGGCACTTGGTCACAAACATATTTACTTTTCGGTTAAGCTTGCATTCCAAGTAAGCTTCTTATCCATTCCTTAAAAAATTGGTTTGAGCACAAATGGACATGCCGTTTCCTTTTTAAAACAAGAACACAATTCATCTTTTGATGGTTCGAATTGCAGTGTCTGCTGGTCATAAGGCCAATGGTTTGAGAAATCGAATCTGATGTTGCTAGAGAGACTAAACTGGTTTAGTTTGTCAAAGGTCTTAAACTCTTGACTCGGGTTTTGTTTGTTAATCTGAGATCATTAGTTGTATTGTGATAACTCAAACGACAAAGAAATTCTGTGTCTTAAATAAGTCAATTTCATTCTGTAACCTCTTAATCAAAGCTCTTGGTGAATTAGGTTTTAAGATAAGTAAATATGAAGGAAACAAATTAAAATCTATAGTGATCAAACCCACTTGGTTGACGATTATACAACGCGCCTTTTGACTGTATGATTTCATCTAGGCCTGGGCGTTCGGTAATTCGGATAGGGTTCGGGTCGGTTCCTTTCGGGTTTCGGGTTTTTCGGTTCTAGAAATTTTAGTACTATTCGGGTATTTTTTATTTTCGGGTCGGGTTCGGGTCGGTTCCGGATCGGTTCCGGGTATCCAAATTTTATTACAGAAAATAAAATAAAAATAAAAAACTGTTTCATTTAAATGAAATTTTATTAAACTTAGCAAAACTAATTGAATATTAACAAATATAACTAAATATTTTTGGATTTCTTGAATATTTTAATTATTTCTTTCTAAATTTAACTATTATATTAGGTTTATAATTGTAATTTTACATATTTTGGTTATTTTAAGTCTAAATATAACTAATATTTTTGGAAATATAATTATATTTTCAATATTTCGGATACTCATTCGGTTCTCGGTTCGGTTCGGGTTCGGTCCGGTTCTTTCGGGTATAAGAATTTTGGACCCATTCGGGTATTTGTGTCGGTTCCGGTCCGGTTCGGTTCTGTCTATTTCGGGTCGGGTTCGGTTCTATATTTCGGGTCCGGATAAAAATGCTCAGGCCTAATTTCATCTATATGAGTGAAAAGCGATAATTAAGGGGTCAAAATATGAAAATAGTAAACTTTGAAAATGTAGGAGTTGGTGAAAATATGAACATGTTGGAGACGAGGATTCCTTCTTTGTTCTAGAAGTAAATGAGCTTTAAGCGACTATAAACGCGTCTTGGTCCATTTTAGTTTGTTTTTGTATGAACGCAAGAAAATAGGAATGACCAGAAAACTAATAAAATTTGGTCAACTGTAAAGTAAAGGGCATAAAATTAAAAGACGAGCAGCTAATTTGGCGAGGGAAACCAAAACACAATGCTTTCTTATTATAAAACGAACATACTGTATGTGACATAATTAATTCACGCACTAGCAGCGATCCTTATCCACGAACGTTAAATAAAAAGTACCAAATTATCAAGACTTAACATTCGTTACACACATTAATAATGACAGTTCCGTGCCTATTCGAGGTGGCGTTTTTCTTTGTAATACTTTATTTGGTATTTTTTTTTTTTACTTTTATGTAAAATATATTAAGAAAATCAAATATCTTGTTGATATAATATATTGAAGTTGTAGGGGGTCCAAGATGGCTGCCAAGTTTGATCCTCGAACTCACAACGCAGCCTCGAATTACAATTATTGTCTCTTTCTAAAACTATTATTGTTCGTGTTTACATCATTGTATCCATTCATCAATTTATACAGAATTTACCACACACCGAGTTTGCAAAACGTCATTTTCTTTTCCACTATATATCAATTCTTGAGTTTCAATTAGTTTTTGACAAATGCAAAGTTACGTCCCCCTCAGTCTATCATGGACCGTTGATTTGAATTACTTATATTTCCCCACAACATTTTTTATTTAACAACTATTTCCCCACAACATAAAGATTGTATTTTGGTATTGTGTATATGTTGCTAGTCAACATATTGCTAATTTACTACATCTATGATCTATCTCGTTCATTTCCATGTACTTATTTTCGTAGTTAATATATTTTTGACTTTTCATAAAAATATTCGGCATGTTGCAAAAAAAAATAGTTATGTTATAGAATAATTCGTTATGTTATGTTACTAGAGCTGTCTTCAATTTTAAACATGGATTACCCCCGCTCAATCGTATCCATATCCGATCAAAATTGCTTAATTCATTTTGGCATAGTAATTTAAAGTATCGAAATTGATTTGCATATCCAAATGATTAGCCTTAGCATGATATTTGGTGGAACAATTATTAAAGAAAAAAACGAATTTTGTTTAAATAATAAACGCAAGAAAAGAAGGTAGTGGATAAAGAGAGGGACCTACATGTAAAATGATGACTCCGTCCACGTTCTTCTCATTTTGACTATGCACAAACGAATTTTCAGAGTTTTTCATTTCAAACTGCATAATTGTTTAATCGTCATTTTCATCTGCCTATATAATCCACTATCCTCTTCCACCCAGAAATAAAATATCTTCCAAATCAAACTCATCCATTTCCTCCGTTACTCTGTTTCCAGATTTCTTGTGTTAGCTCTGCGGAGAGAGATATGGGAAGTACTCCAGCTGAATTACCCTGCGACGATGTCGCCGATAACAGATCCGGCGTCGGAGGCGGTATCTCCGACGTGTACGGTGAGGATTTAGCCACGTTGGATCAGCTCGTCACTCCTTGGGTTTCCTCCGTCGCCAGGTTAGTCAACGCTCTAGCTCACTATTGATCTATGAGAATCGCTTGATTTTGGACTTTCTAAGCTAATTAAATCTGCTTGCAAGTGAAAGTTCGTTTTTTTTTAAACAAGTTCTTGTGAATCATGAACTTATTGTTGTTTCTTGTTGTTGAAGTAAGAGACAGCTTTTATAGGGATCTTATTAATGTGGATTGAAATGTTTTGGCAGTGGGTACTCGTTGATGCGTGATCCGAGATACAACAAGGGACTTGCATTTACTGATAAAGAGAGAGATGCACATTACTTAACTGGTCTTCTTCCTCCTGTTGTTATCAGTCAGGATGTTCAGGTGACTTGACCTTTAAGCATTAAAGAGAAACCCTACTTTTTGTTTAGTTTTGATGATTTGGGGTTTGTAATAAATTTGTGATTTTTTTTGTTTTCGTTGATTAGGAGAGGAAGCTGATGCACAATCTCCGCCAGTACACTGTTCCTCTTCAGCGTTATGTGGCCCTCATGGATCTTCAGGTGAGTGACTCTTGTTTGAATTCCATGTTTAGTTATTTTCTTTTCAACTGGTGGCTCATGTATTCTGAATCTTGCAGGAAAGGAACGAAAGATTGTTCTATAAGCTATTGATTGATAACGTGGAGGAGTTGCTTCCAGTTGTGTACACACCAACAGTTGGTGAGGCTTGCCAGAAGTATGGTAGCATTTTCAGGAAGCCACAGGGTCTCTACATCAGCTTGAAAGAGAAGTGTGTTTTTCTTCTTTTTTAAAAATCTCTCTCTTTACCACCATGTCACTATTATTTTGTTTTTTTTGAAATACTAAAGTGAATGTATATGTTCATTAGGGGCAAGATTCTTGAAGTGTTGAAGAACTGGCCTCAGAGAGGGATTCAAGTTATCGTTGTTACTGATGGTGAGCGTATTCTCGGTCTCGGAGACCTTGGTTGCCAGGTAATAAAAGTCTCCTCCTTTATGTCAAACAAAATCTGCATTTATCATTTGCTTGAACGGTTGTAAAATGTTTGCAGGGAATGGGAATTCCAGTGGGGAAACTATCTCTTTACACAGCTTTGGGAGGAATCCGTCCATCAGCTGTAAGCATCAGAACATAAAGCTGCAAAAAAAATTGTGGCCTTGAAATTGACTCTGCTTGATTGATTGTTAAGTAAATGTTTGATCTTAAATGAAAACGCAGTGCCTTCCAATCACCATTGATGTGGGAACAAACAATGAGAAGTTGCTGAATGATGAGTTTTACATTGGACTTAAACAGAGAAGGGCAACTGGACAGGTTTACTAATCTCTGTCCTGTTATTTCTGTATCTTCTTATAACTAACTAATAAGATGATGTTACAGAAACTGAGAGTTTTATTTACTTTTGTGATTCAGGAATATGCAGAGTTTCTACACGAGTTCATGTGCGCTGTTAAGCAGAACTATGGAGAGAAAGTGTTGGTACAGGTGAGCCATAGGATCAGTTCTTGCTACGAACTATGATGATTCTTGTTAGAATTTTGTTCTAAAGATTTCCTGATACATACTCTTCTTTTTCAGTTTGAAGATTTTGCAAACCACAATGCGTTTGACCTTCTGTCCAAGTACAGCACGACTCATCTTGTCTTCAATGACGATATCCAGGTAACTTATATTTCTCAAAAATGATCTTTTTGTTAACATTTTGGTTTGAGCTAACGCTATATCTTCTTGCGTAATTACAGGGCACTGCATCTGTGGTGCTTGCTGGGCTTATTGCCGCTCAGAAGGTGCTTGGTAAAAGCCTTGCTGACCATACTTTCTTGTTCTTGGGTGCCGGAGAGGTGAGACCATAAAGAAACCATTATAATCTGTAAGCTTATCATTTGTCTTGCATACAAGTCTTGCTGCTCACGCTTTATCTCGCTGCTTCTTTTGAAGGCTGGAACCGGTATCGCTGAGCTAATTGCTCTTAAGATTTCCAAAGAGGTTAGTAAGTCTAGGTCTTCTTTTTCTGTACATTTGCTCTGTTTTCTGGCTAGGAATAAGTGATTGATCACATTCCGGTTGTTTTGTAGACTGGAGCTCCCATAGATGAGACCAGAAAGAAAATTTGGCTCGTGGACTCCAAGGTATTGTTGGCAACCACCTAGATCAGTCTCATCCTCTTAAGCTAAACCTTTCTTGTTCATTTATGATTTTTCTCTTTTGAACTATATTTTGCAGGGACTGATTGTTAGCTCACGCAAAGAAAACCTTCAGCACTTCAAGCAGCCATGGGCGCATGACCACGAACCTGTCAAGGACCTCATTGGTGCTGTTAATGTACGCGATGAGCTCATATCTAAATCGCTTTATGAGTGTTAGATTTTGTATTCTTGTGTTCACTCTTTGCTAAAACTTTTTCAAACAGGCAATCAAGCCAACAGTTCTCATTGGAACCTCTGGTGTGGGTCAGACTTTCACAAAGGAAGTTGTCGAGGCCATGGCTACCAACAACGAGGTTTCTTCTTGTTCTTCTTCCTCTCTGCTTTCTTCAGTCTAAAAAGGTATCTATACGATTGTTTCTAATTCTGGTCTTTGGTGTTGTCTTTATAGAAACCTTTGATTCTTGCTCTCTCAAACCCTACTTCTCAAGCTGAGTGTACTGCAGAACAAGCTTACACATGGACCAAGGTATGTTCCTTTATAAATGTAACTCATGTCCTGACTGATTGTGTGGCTCTCAAGTCTGATTATAAGAGTTTGTGCTTGAAAAAAACAGGGTCGTGCAATCTTTGGTAGTGGAAGCCCGTTTGATCCTGTTGAGTACGATGGCAAAACTTACTTGCCTGGACAGGCAAACAACTGCTACATTTTCCCTGGTCTTGGTCTTGGTTTGATTATGTCCGGTGCTATTCGTGTCCGTGATGACATGCTCCTCGCTGCTTGTAAGTTTAATTCACTCTCTGCAATAAGACAGAAACGTTGAGAGATTATCAGTGTAACTCTCTCTCTCTGTTTTGAACAGCTGAAGCATTGGCCGCTCAAGTTTCAGAAGAGAACTTCGCAAACGGTCTGATCTACCCTCCATTCGCAAACATCAGACAGATCTCCGCTAACATTGCAGCCAGTGTCGCCGCCACAACCTATGACCTCGGTTAGTTGATGGAACTCTCTTTTAACCTCTTAATCCAAAGTTATTGACTAATAAGAAAATGTATTTTTTGCTGTACAGGATTGGCGTCGAATCTCCCACGTGCAAAGGATCTGGTGAAGTTTGCAGAGAGCTGCATGTACAGCCCTGTCTACAGAAACTACCGTTAAATTTTTTGTTATTGAAGAAACCTCTGCAGTTTCTTCTATTCACAACCCTTCTTGAGGCTTGTATAAGTGTTGTTGTTGTTGTTTGTCTGTTTGTCTGATTTCTTCTAGTTTTAATTTGTGATGTTATTTGAGAACTCTCTCTCATTTATCTTTGCTTATTGTTTGATGAAATAAAATATCAATCTACCAATTATCATTCGAGAAAGCTACACTTTCACCCAGACAATCAACTTGTCTTTAGTGGATTTCTTTGTATCTCATGTCAGAAAATTAAAGAGGAAATATTACTATTTGCACTGCAGAATGAGACAGTAAAAATAGGCATTTCCACTAAATGTGAGCCAAAAGATGTGAGAACCGCACTATGTTCTTTGTTAAGCAGCATAGGCTCTCTTAAAGTGAGATATCAAATTTGGTAGAACTTTTGTAATCAAACAATTTAAGCACTAACCGTAACCTGAAATAAGAAAAAGAGATGCCAAATTGGGGTAAACAACTTTATGCGAGGCAAAATCGGAACAAGAAATTAGTTGAGGGACTAATAGTTAAAAGTTCTAAAGTAACACACCCGCGTGATCTTCAGGCATCTGGAACAAGCGAGAAGCTGTAAATCGATCGCGTCCCTTTATTTCTCTTTCATCGTCTTCGTCAATCTCTCTTCACCAAATTCTCTTCCACCGAATCAAATCGTTTTTAGTCCGATTGAGGTATGTTCTCTTTCAGAATTCTTCGCTTTCCCGGGACATTTTACTAGTCTTCAGATTAGAGGCGGCGCGAATATGTTTTCCCCGATGAAAATTCTACTAGTTTGCAAACTTGCTTGAAATTGAACTTAGGATCGTTCGGTGATTGATTTCTGATTGCTCTCGGATTTTAATTTTTAATAATTACATGTTTTCCTTGCTGTTTGATTTGTTTATCAGTTTTTTTGGAACTCGTGTTGTAAAATCTAGAATTTTTGTTTCTATAATCTCAATGGTTGCTCTGTATAAATGTGTTTATGATGTTTAAAATTGGAGTATGTCTATTGCAACGTGTATTGTGGCCTCAATTTATGAACAATGGATATTGGGTTTAACGTTTCATGTTTTTTCTTAGCGTTTTAATTTTGGACTTCTGATAATTAGTGTGTGTTTGCATTCTCATTTGTGTCATCATCAAGTGATAGCTTATAGTGTCCGTCTAGTGATAAAGTTACACAGAAAAGAAGAATTGAGTTCTGAGAAGCACAAGAGAGCAAGAAAGAACCTACCTTTCATTTCTTTTTTGGCTTGATCAAGTGCAGCCATGGCGCTTAACCCTCAGCTGATGCCCAATGGGATGCCTATTCCCTTTGTTAATGAGATGTTCGTTCTAGTCAGAGATGGGGTTGAGTTTGAAGTCGACAAGATCCCTGGGTTTGTGTTTCCTTTTCTCGTCTCTCAAGTATTTGACCTGCTCATGTGTTTTCTTGATCGTGGGCTTGATTTCATTTGATATTATCTCCTCGTTGGTTTTCAACTTTAGTATCATTGGTTTGCATCTGTTCATTATTTAGCACATGAACCAATAAGTATACTTGTAAATAAGATCAGCTTCCCTGACGTTTGTTTCATGTGATCCAGAGGGCATGGAGGCAATGTTAAGGCCAAGGGAGTGATTTACTTGTCCAATATACGGATGGTATTTGTTGCAAGCAAGCCTGTTGAGAACTTTGTTGCTTTTGACATGCCCATGGTACGCTAAACTTAAATACATGACTCATTCTCTAATGATATGGCTGGTAATATTTATAGATGCATTATCATAATGTGACTCTACTTTGTAGCTTTATATCCATGCCGAGAAATTCAACCAGCCAATATTCCATTGCAACAATATTTCTGGTCAAGTGGAGCCTGTAAGTATCATCAAACTTCGTGGCAAACTTACATTTTACTTGCCGGAAAACTACTGTTTAACTAACACACCTTTTGCAATGTAATGAAAATATCCAGGTGGTACCAGAGAACGAGCACAGAGCTCTATATTCAACACACACATTCAAGATCCTGTTCAAGGAAGGTGGCTGTGGGACGTTTGTTCCTCTCTTCCTGAATCTCATATCATCAGTGAGACAATACAATAGACAAGTGCAACAAGCAGCAGAAGTAGCTCCACGTGTTGATCCTCTCCAAGCCGCACAGACCCCTGTGGACGAAATGATGAGACATGCGTAAGTCCCTTAAAATCAAACCAAACCCAAGGTTTTGATTGCAGTATTAAAAAAGGCTATGTGTTACTCAAAATCGTGTGTGTGGTGCAGGTACGTGGACCCAAATGATCCAACGAAGATATATCTGCAGCAGCCATCAGGGGAATCTCAGTTGAGGCGGAGAGCTTACCATCCGAGTGCACCCGAATATTGACGGAAAATACAAAGAGGGATACATAAACAGCAACAGATTATTAGTGTTGCAAATAAATAAAAGTGTTGTTGGTGTTTTCAAAACTGGCAAGGGTAATACAAAACCATGTGTAATGAGTAATGAAAAAGACGAGACTTGTTTGGTCATGGGTGTGTGTGGGTCTATGTGTTTCTGTTAAAAATTGAATTCTCAACAGTTAAAAGTTTGGTTTGTACCGCAGAAAATGAGTTGTTTTTCAGGTTAACAACGACGAAATTGATCAATTATTTAAGTAATTAAGATTTAAGAGTCGAGAGAATAATCCAAATAACATCGCCTAGACCACCACCAGTTAAAGCTCCGTACAGTATATACATTTACAGTTCTACACACAGCGTTACAACCAAAAAGTTACTTTCGTCTTTACATATCGAGGGAGAGTGAAGAAGAACAGAAGAAGATACAAATGATTTGAGTGAGGCGTCGTCTATTTGTAATTGTTGTTCGCTTTGACGCAGAAACCCTAATTTCGGCGGGCTCTGTGCAGTCGCACGCACAGGATCAGCTCGCGCACCAGTCTCTCTCTCTCTCTCTCTGCGCACGCACAGTCTCAGCTCGCGCACCACTCTCTCTCTGCTTCCTTCTGGTAAATGTTATTTAATCTCCGTTTTGTTTCTTCTTAGTCGAATCAGATTTTCTGGTACTCGGTTTCCTTCTGGTTAGTGGTTAGTGTTGATTGTTAGCTCCATGGATTGGTGTTTTGCAGAGAAACGATTGTTGATTGATAATGGAAACAGAGAAGAAAGAGAAGAAAAGTCGGGAACCGAGCGTGAAAGCCATAGTTGATGATGTCGGGCTTACATTCGCGACGGTAACAGTTGGAGCATCTGTGTATTACTTCAGAAAAGGGGCAAACAATTCGCCCAAAGGTGCTCGCTTTGTTGGAGGAGCACAAGCGGTGAGAATGAATGCTCCTCGTCTGGGAGGCAGCTTTGCTGGAGTCAGAGGCTTGTTCTTGACACTCGACCACACACTCATGTACATGAGGAACAAGGATGATCGATGGAACTCGTTCGTAGCAGGTGCTGCTTCAACAGGGCTTATCACATTCCGAAAAGGCATTTCTGTAGCTGCTAAATCATCACTTGCCGTAGGCCTTTTCTTGGCTTTGGTCCACTGAAGCTTTAGGTGATAAATACATCATTAGGGTAGGGATGAAGTTTATATTTCAGCTTATGGGAACATTTCAATGATAGACGAGAAACAAATTGGTTTATGTGGGGCTTGTGTTTGATGGAGCTTTCTCTCGACTACTCTTTTGTGAATCAGATAATTAATTAACTTTTAGTTTTGTGTTATTTTCTTAGCACCAATTTTTTTTGTTTTCCTGTATACCTTCCATTTTTTAGCAAATCTGGTAATTTCACATCATCAACATTGTAAAACTCATGTCTTGTTGCGGTATAAAAGTTCACTTTTTAGCCTTTGAGCAAAACTATTCAGGCAGAGAATAAAGAGGCAACGAGTCACTGTATGTAGGTCAACGAAACTGCTTATTGAGTTAAAAAAAGTCAACTACTCGCTGATTTTGACCAAAAAGAAGAAGATAATCAAGACCCGGATCCTTTTCTTACACCAAAAACATGCCAAGAGAGGAGTATTGAGGCAGAAATAATAACACAGCCCCAAGTAGATTAGATCATTGGTTTCTCACTTATTTACATACAAAAGCCTTTACCAATACGACGACCATCCACTGAAACAAAACCAAAACCCAAACAGGATCTCTAGATTACAAGTTTTGTCCCTCTCTAATTATATCCACCAAATAGACTTGTTTGCTCTTTTTCCCTTGACAATCAGAGTTCCTTCTCTTTTGTATCCTAGTTCTATTCACCTAGAGTAATAGAATTACAAGAAGAGAAACAAAAAAAAAGAGAAAATCAAACAAACTGAAACCCTCACTCCAAACTGGGGCACGGCTGCTTTTAGTTGTTCTCCGAAAAATTACCTGACAATACAATACTTTTGTCACGACTGCCAAAACAGCTCAAAATCCTTGCTATACAACGAGCGGTCTTGTATCTCCAGGTTTGCTACGTGTCGATTTATCAGCTGCGATTGCATTATCTTACACACGACCAGTCCCGCTGGAAATATCCACCATTCACTCTCACCCCTGCGCATCACAAACCCAATACACCAAAACGTAAGATTGAGTGAGAGAGAGAGAGAGCGAGAGATGCTCTTTTTTATTAAGTTACTACTTTGCATACTAGTTAAACTCACATGTTTATATTCCACGGCTGAAATGGGATTTTCTTGCTAGCTGATGATTCGCTGTTATAATGAACATATCCGCAGAGAAAAGCAACACACTGTCACAGAACCAAAACTTGTCAGATTACGTGAGACATGCAACATTTTCCAAAGAATCAACACCAATACTGTCCATACTACAGATATAACTGTTGAATTCATCCTCATGTGACGAGTGAACATGAGGTTCACATTGCATTTCTCAACGAAACAAGTAATAAAAGAGAACTTACCACATTGACCAAGGACATGAAGTTCCACAAAGCATAAACACGTGCTAAGCCAGCAGAGCGTCTGGGTCCATGACTGAATAAGGCATTGATCCCAGCGGGGAATGGCAGAAGCAAGCCCAGAGGTAATATAAACAACGCCAAAAGTACATCCAGCAAAGATATCGAATACAGCTGGAGCAGTGTGAGCAAGACTAGACTAAAATCTCCTAGAAGTATCATCGAGATAACTAAGCCAACCATATCCTGCAGTATCACAAAAGATAACGGAGGGAAGAGGCATTCAAAATCTTTGAAATGTTGGACGGCACAACATGTAATAAGACATTCATACTGTATAAGGATTTGATCGGAGAGGTACCTGGTGGCCCACAGGTTTTGTGTTGTGAACTAAGAAAGAGAGAAGGAAAAACATATCTCTCTTCTCTTTCAGACTAGGTAAGCTGTCAAGGTCGATTATCCCTCCATAGTTCTTTCTGCGTGTTGTATAATCCTCACTGTTTGTGTGGGTTTGGTTGAAGAGCATACTCTCTCTTAAATGTGCCGGAGAATTATCTTTATGTGCACTCACGCCGTAACTAGAAGTTACAAGAAGAAGACATCAGAACTCCGCATAACTAGATATGAACAACGAAAAAAAGGACATCTAAAAAAACCTCAAAACTTCTAAAATTTATCATCTTCTTTATCTAGAGCGCTCCGTTCATATTTTTTATTCAACTTAAGACAACACGACGCATTCAGAAGAAAGAATGGTATCGTTACTATAGTCAGAGTGGACAATAGAACGAATGAAAGAAAATGGTTGCAATTTCTCAAATATTTACCGTGGCTGGATATCATTCCATGCTGTTTCACTGACACACTGAGGAGATGTTGGTTCACAATCCTCAATAGCATGAATCAAGAGACCATATTGCCAGTAACCACAAGCTGTAGTCTGGAACCAGGCAAGATCAACCCGTATGCCATTTGTTTCCAGAGCGGGGTTAGCATGAGTTTCTAACCATTTCAGAACAGAATGAAATGTAGATCTCAGACGCCCACGGCGAACAAGGCGTAGTTGAGCATTTACACCAGCCACCAGTCTGTACCAAGTAGTGGGCGGAACGAGCTGGGAAAATAAAACAATAACAAAGATCAATACAACCTTTAACATGGCTCCTGTAACTGCTTCTCGTTAACTTATTAACCAACCTGACTCATCAGACTGGTAAGAATGTTGTCATTCTGAAGTGAGAAAGGAGCCATGTAACTGCCATCACCACCAAACAATATGGGCATTGGAAACCTATGGTGAAGCCGTGGTGGAAGGTCTGTCCTTTTTTCATCCCCGCCAAGGAAGAAATCCAGATATGCAAGCATCAAATCGGAGGTAGCAGCAACCTATATTTAGCGGGTAAAATATTACTATAAGCTTATCACAAGAAATCCTTGTAAAACGAATCAGATATTCTTAAAATCTGTAGTCCCGTCAAGCAATTCTGAGATCAAATAAATCAACAAAGAATTACCTTCAGGCCCTCATACAAAGCCCGGGAGCGACAGGAGCGTAAACAGGAATGATCATATTCTGAACGTACAAACTCACGCAATCTTTGCAATTTCAACTTCCGCCGCCATTGCTGCCATGACCACGCAAGCGGATATGCAACCACTGAAAGAATACTATATATTGCACCTTCCCACCATTGATATGATGCTATAGAGTTGATTTCATCGACAAATGTGTTAAACGCAGCCTCATATCTAATGAAACAATATAAGAATATTTCAGAGCCAAGGAAACTTATTTAAGGAACTATAGAAAAAACAATGAGACACGATCCCAAATCAGCTAGGAAATAAAATAAGAAATAACTAACACTATCTCTTTTATCTCTTCCGGGGGAATATGCGAGAGATGCCATGGCTCGCTGAATGTATTTGGACCCATAAAATACATTCTATGAACATGACTCTGAGACTGCTCTGCTCTATTTGTTTCCAACACCTGACAAAGATATAACATTATTAACAGCACAACACTAATGTAAGGAAGGTTTGGCAGGTTATTTTGCTCAATCATGTCTGCTGGCCATACAATACTTGCATCTCGAGTGACAAATCAGCGATTACATAAATCATTCTTCATTGCTTGTATAGATGAATGCAGAAAGTAAGTCAACCAAACAGTTTTAGGATATAATGTTCCAAGACGAAGAAAATCCTCTAACCTCGTTTAGTGATTCAAGGAAAGGGAAGGAATGATCAATTTGAGAGCCATGCTGTGTGGGAGCTGGGCCAGGTAAATCATCAACTCCAACAAATTTCATTCGTGCAACACTAAGTACAAGTGCTAAGAGGATGAGGAGACCCATCAGAAGAAGACCAAACAACCAAGGCCCACCAAATGTGTAAATTAACTCCTCCAGAGCGGTGTAACAGTGTGGCATGTGATACCTTTCCGATATGCATCGATATGGACATGGTGTCTCAGAGACACCACCTGTTAAGCATAAAAAATCCAAGGTCTATATTTAAGACACTTTACAGTACGGAATGAGTAAGAAAAAAAGATCATAACTAACTTAAATAAACAGTTGTTTGTAAAATACAACATTGTAAAACTACAGACAGGATTATCATGGGAAAATGGAAAAAAAAAAAAAAAAAAAAAAAAAAAAAAAAAATTAAGGCTTGGTAGTTGAAATGGAAACAAGAAAAACTATCACTGACAGTTAGGACAAACTTTATAGCATATATGTAATACAAAAGAGAGAAATATGGATTGTTATTTATACCTCGAACTGGGACATAGACAGCACGAGCTGGAAGCTCATTAACAGGACAAGGACGGCAAAGAGACGAGTCAGATCCAGTAACATTCTTGAATGTACCAGATGGACATTCCTGGAGAAAAGAATAGAATTTAGAATACAATCAGCGTAAAAACTACAATAATAATTCAACCGTGATAAAGGAGCAAAATCCTGTGGTATTATAGAGCAGGAAATCTTGAACCAAGGATTCCTAACCTTGCAAAATATACCATGGAGTCCCTTTGGACAAGGCGTCCCAGTTACTGTGCCATTTTTACCAGAAAAACCATCATCTACCGCCCCTCCCCCCCTATGATTACAAAGAGAATGAATGTGTTAATGCGACAGGCTGAAAAAGCCATCAAATAATAACACATAAATGGAAAATGCAGTCACGAAGGGAAAACATACTAATGCCATGGAAAACAGGTTAATGATCATGCCAAATGCACAGGTATTTAGAGGACAGACCGTGTATGGATTATTCCTTTTACACTAGCAATAGGCTGGTATATGTCCCCAGTGGGAATGTTTGACCAATGAAAATGAATCCTCCCACCTCCGCCACCACCACCACCAGAAGGACTGCCTGACCCACCACCACTTGAGAGAAGAGACGACTCTCCTATAATAAGATAACGCAGGAACAAAAGAACTGTTCCACCAGAACCACCACCAGGTGCTACAACAGAACCATTTTCATCTCTGCTCAAACGTTTGACACTTTCTCCATCAGCCCTTATTGAGCCTTCAAGTGATAAACCAGATAGAGGCTGCTCCAATGAACCAATCACTGATCAGATTCAAAGGAAAAGAAGAACAGGTTAAAA